TAAGATGAAAAAGTCATGATTTGGCACCGCATTTGATCGTGGCCAAGTTGCGTAGAGGAGACTGTCATAGCTTCTCGGCTTTTTGCTAAGATGAAAAAGTCATGATTTGGCACCGCATTTGATCGTGGCCAAGTTGCGTAGAGGAGACTGTCATAGCTTCTCGGCCTTTTTGCTGAGATGAAAAAGTCATGATTTGGCACCGCATTTGATCGTGGCCAAGTTGCGTAGAGGAGACTGTCATAGCTTCTCGGCCTTTAGGCTAAGATGAAAAAGTCATGATTTGGCACCGCATTTGATCGTGGCCAAGTTGCGTAGAGGAGACTGTTATAGCTTCTTGGCCGTATGAAAGTGTTATCGCTTCTCGGCCTTTTGGCTAAGATGAAAAAGTCATGATTTGGCTCCGCATTTGATCCGGGCCAAGTTGCGTAGAGGAGACTGTCATAGCTTCTTGGCCGTATGAAAGTGTTATCGCTTCTCGGCCTTTTGGCTAAGATGAAAAAGTCATGATTTGGCTCCGCATTTGATCGTGGCCAAGTTGCGTAGAGGAGACTGTCATAGCTTCTCGGCCTTTTTGCTAAGATAAAAAAGTCATGATTTGGCACCGCATTTGATCGTGGCCAAGTTGCGTAGAGGAGACTGTCATAGCTTCTTGGCCGTATGAAAGTGTTATCGCTTCTCGGCCTTTTGGCTAAGAATAAAAAGTCATGATTTGGCACCGCATTCGATCGTGGCCAAGTTTCGTAGAGGTGACTGTCATAGCTTCTCGGCCTTTTTGCTAAGACGAAAAAGTCATGATTTGGCACCGCATTCGTTCGTGGCCAAGTTGCGTAGAGGAGACTGTTATAGCTTCTTGGCCGTATGAAAGTGTTATCGCTTCTCGGCCTTTTGGCTAAGATGAAAAAGTCATGATTTGGCACCGCATTTGATCCGGGCCTAGTTGCGTAGTGGAGACTGTCATAGCTTCTTGGCCGTATGAAAGTGTTATCGCTTCTCGGCCTTTTGGCTAAGATGAAAAAGTCATGATTTGGCATCGCATTTGATCGTGGCCAAGTTTCGTAGAGGTGACTGTCATAGCTTCTCGGCCTTTTTGCTAAGATGAAAAAGTCATGATTTGGCACCGCATTCGATCGTGGCTAAGTTGCGTAGAGGAGACTGTCATAGCTTCTCGGCCTTTTGGCTAAGATGAAAAAGTCATGATTTGGCAATCGCATTTGATCGTGGCCAAGTTGCGTAGAGGAGACTGTTATCGCTACTCGGCCTTTTGGCTAAGATGAAAAAGTCATGATTTGGCACCGCATTTGATCGTGGCCAAGTTGCGTAAAGGAGACTGTCATAGCTTCTCGGCCGTATGAAAGTGTTATCGCTTATCGGCCTTATGGCTAAGATGACTAAGACCGAGCGACGTTAATTAGGCCTTATTTCATCTTGGCCGGTTGGCTTAGATGAAAGTGTTGTCGAGGTATCCTTGGCGTTTTCAGAGGGCAGTACTTTACGGCGAGGCCGTCTCAGCGCCAGCGGCACAGCTCTCTGTACGAGGGGCCCTCGCATGCCAATTCTAGTCCAACTGTCGTGCAACTCGGAATGAGCAGTACTTAACCTTCACGCAGTGTCTCTGATACTCTCTTTTCATTTTAGCTTTTATCTTTGTTCCTTAGTTATTAATTTAGTTTTCCTCAGCAGAGTTATTGATCATTAAGTTCAGAGAACAGAGTTAAAACTGTATTTGTTTAATTTGTTTGTGACACAAGGAGATACAATAAAGTGTGCTAATAGTTTAAGTGAATTTCCTGTTTTTCTTGTGCCACCTTCCTACTATTACGAAAGAAAGTGTTATTGTTGTGAGGCCGCATCTGATCTTGGCCAGGTGGCTTTGATGAGAGTGTTATCGTTTTCAGGCCTTCTTTCATCTTGGCCGGTTGGCTTAGATGAGAGTGTTTTTGTAAAACTTTGCTTCAATTCTCAGTGAAACTTCAAACGGCTGTATCTTCGGTTCTAGAGGACTCAGAGACTTTTTATATATCTCAAATCAAAGGTGATTTTGTGCTCTTTAAGTTCATGTACTTAGGTTTTCAGGTTTGAGTTTGCCTAGCATGTGTAATATGTAAAGATCTAAGGCTATACTCTGCTTTAGGGGCCTTTTTTGCACGTTTTTCGACACATATTAGTGTATCCAGGGCAAACCAAGGCTCAAACGATTATAAAAACTTACAAGGGAGTAGTTGACAGGTTGAGGAAGCTTCTTAAATAGTTATTGAAAGGAAAGTACGGATCATACTTGATTAGATTTTGTGTTTTTGGTTTTTTCTCGATTATTTTTATTATTGGGAATTAATGCGAGTGCCCTGGAGGGGGAAAAAATCCAATATGTCCTCTATAGCCAAGGAGGTTTAACATAGGAGTGTATGGGAGGTTTACAGTTTTTCGCTCATATTTCAAAAAATATGCAAATTTTCGGAAAACTGAGGACATCAATCGATTCCTCGTCAAATTTTACATCGGAAATGATTGTCGACTGCGAAAGTGTTAGTGTAAAATTATTCACAATATCGAGTTAAACAAATAAAAATCACGTCAAAGCGAAGCGAGAGCCCCGTTTCATAGTCGAATTTCTCTGTTCAACTCGATATTGTGAATAATTTTACACTAACACTTTTGCAGTCGACAATCATTGCCGATGTAAATTTTGACGAGGAATCGATTGATGTCCTCAGTTTTTCGAAAATTTGCATATTTTTTGAAATATGAGCGAAAAACTGTAAACCTCCCATACACTCCTATGTTAAACCTCCTTGGCTATAGAGAACATATTGGATTTTTTCCCCTCCAGGGCACTCGCATTACTTCTCAATAGAAGCCTCCAGAGTGCTCAGATCGCTTCGGGACCTGAGTTCGGGACCTTTTTCTGAAAATTTGGACGATTTCCAACAAAAAAGCTCCAGTGCACTTTTACTTTTGAGTCATATTACACTGAGCTACAGCTTAATGAAATATTTGCGATCTTTGATGAATTACGGAAAAATGCGAAAAAGACCAACTCTGGATTTCTGAATAAGGGTGATAGAAGGCCCCAATCGCTCTATCAATTTTTTTTTACATTTCTGACATCCCAAACAATGTTTTCATCGTATTAGATATAGGAAAAAAAATTTGACCGGTTGTGTTGTCAGAGAATCGGCCTTATACAAGTCCCATACCGTCCGAATTCGTGTCAAAAAGTCAAAATTAGTCCACGGACAGTGTACATGCGTCTACTGATAAGTATGACTTCACGGTCGCTCGCACAGTTTCGAGCGCTTTTGTCGCGTTTTCGGCCGTTTGAAAAGTTGTATTTTCTGAAACGATAAATTTTTAAATCAAAACGCAATGAAAAATTAAAAAAAAATGTTCATTGGTAATTCATATTTGTTGATTTCAAAAATATCATTATTTTTTTTTATGCAAATACCGTATGGCCTATTTCAACGCTATTGATTAGCTAGCAGATAATAATAATAATTCATCCACTTTCTCAATCTTCAATATCAGTGAATAAGAAAAATTTATCGATTGTTCAACAAGTTTGGTCTCGTCAAACTTCAAATAATTAAAAAAAACAAGCGGCAGTCTTAATTGGGTAAAAAAAATTCTTCGAATGTGATATTACTTTTGCAAGTATATAAATAACACCGAGCTTAGTGTTTTAATCGGTGTAGTAACATTTGACATAAATATCAATCTAGTATTGATCGTGTATTCCTTTCTTCGTATTAGTAAGCATCGTTATCGAGATTTTGTAAAGATATTTCGAAAAAGATTTAATCAAAAACTGTAATCCTTGGCGAATTTTTTATAAGCCTGAAGTGCCACATTGTGAACTCTTATCTAAGAATCGAGTCATGTAACTTAAAAAGCATGTACTTGTATGAAACTAAAATCACAGTTGAATTTTATCATATTTTAATTAATAAGGAAATACATAAAACCTTCATTTTTTATGATCAAAATGATAAAAGTTTTAGCTTGATTGTTTTGAATAGAAATTCTCATTTTTAAAGATGATTTTATTTTGGTGATATTTTTGTCGGAATATAAATAAAGATGCTATCGCTCATTTTCAGTTTTAATACTTAATTTTTTTATTTTTCAATCCACTTTTAATACTTGAAAATTGATTTACAAAGTATTTTACATGTTTACGCACATTGCACAGCAATAAAATCAATTGAATCATTATTCTCAATTGTTTTTGGCGTATATACAATGTAACTGCTATTATTGTATTTTTTGACACTAACATCTGACAAAAATGAGCTGGTCATTTATACAGTGGAAATGAAACAATCTCCTATTTCTGTTCTAAGAAAACATGTGCCCATCGCTATGGAAAAAAATTAAACAATGTTTGAATAACTGTAAAAAATATGTATTACAGATTCCCATTTTTAGATACTCATATAAAATCATTTAAATCGTACACAAGCAAAACATGAGAATGTACATTTAATATATTTATTTCCCACCCATCCTGTGATGTTTTTAAAAATATTTAAAGTTATTTTTGACAATTAAAAACATGTAAATCTTTAACTCATGTAACTCTCAAAAACCAGAAGAGGACATTCAATTAATTTTAATTCAACATTTTGATATTGAATAGTCCAGTTGATAATAACAGCTGAATGATCATGTAGATCAATCTCACAATCTTTCTATATTTTATGGTTTCACCTTTAATTTAGTTTTCTGACGAAGTTCAACAATTTGATTGAATGCATGTGAATAGCTGATTTCTACGATATAACATTTTTTTCAGTATTTTCATTTATTAAAAATATTAAAAATATTAAAAATATTAAAAATATTAAAAATATTAAAAATTAAAGGGTACAAAATATTTTCTATTATTAGTGTTTTAGAGTAAAACAACAATTGTAATTTTTCAATTTTCTTGCAATAATATACATGATTTTTTCTTTTCAATTTTTTGTCTTAATTTGTAAGACCTCATCGGAACTCTTTAATTTTTTTTTTTAATTTTCATATTTGATCTGTGGAAAAAGTAGATCTATTTTTATTTTAAAGTAGTACTCCTCAGTAGAATTCATAAACTGAACAACATTTTAGAACCAATTTCAAATGCGGAAGTTGATAAATAATAAGATTTGTGAAAATCAGCGTTCTTAAAGATACAATAAAATTTAGTACCTTTTTAGTATTCAATCTTATCAGTTCAATCAAACTTATTTACAAAAAAATGCATAACTTCAAGCACACAACGCTCAATATTTTAAAAAAAATTGACTTATTATTGTGTAATTATATTCTTATGAATCTCTTAAAAAATTTAAATCACAGTTCATCGTGCACATCTTGCTTCTCAACGTTTGGATTGCACAATGCTGGTGTTGAAAACTCCATGGCATATTCACACCTATTTGGTTCACTGACTGACAGTAATTTGTTTTCTGTCCCACATGTTAAAGTTACTATTGTGGATCTAGAAGGACCATTCCAACATGTAAGTCCTCTGTCAAATTTAGCTTTAGTATACTTAGCATTCTCTGGTCCAATCCATTCTCTCCATTGACCTAAGCTTACTTCACTACCACCAGATTTTGAACGCTGAGTAGCTTTACCAAATGGACAAAGCGTATAAACATATTCAAGGTCTGTATAATCAAAACACTGACCATCTAAAACAGCGAATTCTTCCTCTAGTCCATAGTCGCGCTCTGTTTTTTCTTCTATTGAACGAATTTTAGCAAGTAGATCAAGAACTGATCTTTCAGCTTCTTGGAACCGCTGACGAGCATCTGTGGCGTCATCAATCAAAGCTTGAGTTTCTTCATCATATTTAGGAGCTGGTGGTTCAGGTGTTGACTCTGGAGCTACAGGAACTTCTTCAACTTGTGCTTGACCATCATTTAAATTTGATTCTTCAATATGATCTTCACCTCCTTCACCTTCATGAATTTCATCATCATATTCCATTTGTTCCTCTTGTTCTTTATTTTCTTGGTCTCTTTCTGCAGGTTTGAATAAGCCTAAGATGAAATGATTATAAAATTTACGTTATATTGTTGAATATTCAAATGCATTGTGAATAATCAAAATACAATTGAAAAGTAAAATCTTACCTTTTTCTAACATTAAAAATGGTTTCACATTAGCCCAGGCAGTATTAACAAATTCTTGCATCGTGAGTTCTTCAAAATTATTCAAGAAATATAATGCTTCTTCTCTGCTGACTTCACCGTCATGATTCTTATCAAAAGTAGCTCTAGTTTGTAGTTCTGCAATTGAAATAGTACCACTGGAGTCAGAATCTAACATTTTGAAATAATCCTCAGCTTCAAATTCTTCTTCGTCTTCTTTTTGTTCTAAAGCTGGTTGTTCTTCATGAGGAGGAGGATTATACTTTTCCAAAGCTGCAGCTTCCCGTTCTTCAGCCTGTTTTTTAACTTGTTCAAGCTCTTGTTTTGATAATTCTGCTTCTTCGCGATCAGTTTGTAGCTTAGTCAGTTGAGATTGATTTTCAATTTTTAATTGTTTACCACGAGTAATGTACTCTTGACGTATTTTATTGCCTTCTTTGGCTAGTTCAATGGCCTCTTGAGCTTTGATCCATGCTTCACGACCTAGTTCATGACAGTTGTCAAGACATTTCATGTCAGATGAGTATTCATCACTAGCATCACAACAATCACACACTCCATCATTTACCCAGGATGAAGGAATGTATACAGATTGATGACCTGAAAGTATTGTTTTTATTATAATTTATTATAAAGTATGAAATTATGATTTTGTTATTGAAATGCAATAGAAAAGAATGAATTGTAGGATTATTTATCACTATTAAACTTCACTCATCACGATCATACCTGTATTTTGACAGTAGAAAGTGCCATTAGGACAGGCGGCTGTGCCAGGCTCGTCGCTGCCGTCCTCGCAGTCGCAGTAATCGTCATTGACCTTCAAGAACGATATCGTCCGACTGCCATCCAGACACTCGAAGTCCCGGTCGGACGGGTAGAGCGTGCTCTTGGACAGGGGTATGCCGCGTAGACGCAATTGTTGCACTTTGCCGGCTACGACGTGGCCCAGCAGGCAAACAGCGGTGAAGGCCAAGAACAAGGTTAGAGTCGTCCGGGTCTGCATGTTGTTGCTCGCGAATTTTGTTGCTACACACAGTGGGTCAAAACAATTAGGGACCGATATGTCCCTCGCCTGCAATTGTAAATAATTTACAAACTATTAATCATTCGAGTAGATTGGAAAAAATTCAAGCTCTCGCGTGTGCTTTTAGTTTGCGCGTAAATTTAATTCGAGACGTGTACAACAAGCGAATTGGCCTAATGATTAACTCGTATATAAAGTTTCCTCCGTCAAATAAAATATACATGTCATAAGTGTGTACACATACTCTCTCTCTCTCTCTCTCTCTCTGTTTCTTGTTCTTTCTCGAGCGGCTCGACGACACTCACTGACACCAATTCAATGTGCGGCAGAAACGCAGCTTTGCCAATAGTCTGCAAGTGGCCGGCCACGCAGCCCGCAGGTAAGGTAAACGACAGAGCAGTAACAGCGCCGCGCTCCTACACTTTAGGTGCTCCTTTGCGTATTATAATTTATAGGGTCTATTGAACCGCTCGAAAGTAATATTAGCATCCTTGGAGCAGTCTTACACTTATACGCTTATGAAATTTAATGTTTTGAGCGTTCGAAGACGTTACGATCAGCAAAGAGAAAAACAACCACACGATAACATTTCTAACTTGTTGCACTGGTATTATATTCAATAGTGTTATTAAAAAGATATTTTCTCAGAGAATAAATGGTTTTTATTTCTTCATCACTACGCCCGGAAAATGATACTTTCTGGCAATCTTTAAATCGACTTTCCACGCGTTATAATTAAAAAAAAAAATAACGAACGCAACTGGGGTGATTGTCAATTGTGTCAATGCAACTTTTGCAAGACAAACAAATCAGACCCACCCCACCCTCTTTGCATAATCTACCAAAAATTAATTTCCATTTTATTGGTATTTTCCATTAATTGGCTCTATACAATTTCTCATTGCCTTTGTGAATAATGATTCCGCTTTATCGACCTTTTCTACAAAATAACAGTATCAGATTGCTTTTGGACATCTTGCAAAAGTGTCTAATTATGCACTATTTTACAATATAAGTGCTACATAGAAGCAGTGGAATATGCATAACTGAGGACCAACTATAATAAATAGCGTAGGTGTCGAATAATAACATGCACGTGAGGGGCTAGTAATGTTTGTCCCAAAAACCTACGTTGAAATCTACCTAAAAATCCACCTGGAAATCCGGATACTTATTTTGAACAAAAACGGAACTCATCAAGGAATGGAATTAAAAATAGTCGATTGCGTGCCTAAGAGGCGAAAAACTGGAAACCTCAGTAAAGGTGCTCCGTAGGCACGAAATTAGCAATACAAGAATTTATTTGAGATATGATGATTTCCCGCTGTGGTCTGCTACTTGCGCTTGCGCATATAATATCAATTCTCATGTTATGACTTGACCAAAATTCGAGAGCAGATTCACTGCAAGCTGTACTGTTGTTCTATTGATACATAAAAACATAAAGTTATTGCTCTTAGTTCATCTGCCCTTCTTGCGATGAAATTTTTGGATACGTTGCCTCATACAATGAGCTGAAGGCCATTTTATAATTGGGTAATATATTTCCATGCATACTTTGCGGTCTGTCTAGTTTCTAAAGATTCTGCTAGTTCAAAGAAGTTGAAATATAAATTCATTTGCACTATTGTGTGCGTTAAAAATTATAAAAATTTCGGCTTTGCCCAGAAGACCAAAGTTTTCATTTGCAATTATTATATGTAGTACGACGCAAACAAAAAGAAGGATGATTACATTTCCCGCAAATGTGCAGGAAAATTGAATTGTATAAATTATTGTAAAAAGAGATTAGTTTTACGATCCGCGTTCAAACTTCGCAATGCTCTATCCGCATAAAGTGCAGAATGCAGTGCACCAACGGCGACAGCAAATATGCTGTACAGCACGCATATACAATGTATGAGTAGTGCTATGTAAAAATAATATAGATAATTTATAATAAAAAGCAACAGAATAAAGCTAAAGAAAAACATTTTTTGTGATATGAAGTATGAACAAAGCAGAAAGTTCAGTAAGTTATCAAAGCCTTTGAAGTAATCTCAGAAATAATTGACTTCGTACAATTGGTGTTAAATGTTGATGATCGAAAAATGTATTGCAACAACACAAAAGTCATTCGACAGGACGGAAGTGTTTATTATTTAACTATGAAACCTAAGGAGTCCGAAGAAGACAGCAACGCCTTAGAAGTTAAAGCTGAACAGGCTCAGGAAGAACACGTCAAAAATCACAATGAGGTCTGCATGCGTACAATGGAGGACTATTTTTACAAGGAACAATTAACGGATGTGGTACTTGTAGCTGGCGAAAAGCGCATTCCGGCACACAGATTGGTGCTTAGTGCTAATTGCGAATATTTTGCCGCTATGTTCACAAATTCGCTCCGCGAGACTTTCGAAAATACGATCGAATTAAAGGATGTAGACGGCAATGCCTTATGGACCGTAATTCGTTATTTTTACTCAGGAAAAATTGAATTGGAAGAAGAAAACGTTGAAGCTGTTTTAGCTACCGCTTCTTTGTTGCAACTTACGCATATTGTCGATATTAGCTGCAAGTTTTTGATCAAGCAATTTCACCCAAGCAACTGTTTGGGTATCAGAAGATTTGCTGATCTTTATGGTTGTTCAGAATTGCTTGAAGCTGCTACTTCGTATACTAATGATCATTTTATGGAAGTAATTAAAAATCAAGAATTTTTGACATTAACAGTTGATGATCTTGCATCTCTGTTAGGCTCTGATGATTTAAATACATCTTCAGAAGAACATGTGTTTCATGCTTTACTAAAATGGTTGGAACATGATTTAAATGAAAGAAAGCAACATGCCAGCAGATTGTTAGGTTTGGTCAAACTTCCATTATTATCTCCTTCATTTCTTGCTGATCATGTGGAAAATAATGAAATTTTTCAGGAGCAAAGATCTTCACAGGTAATTTTAAATTACATTTTGTAAACATCAACTTTTAAAAGTTGTATCCATAATATTTTATACTCTTTATAATCGTAGGTACTTATAATGGAAGCTCTCAAGTATCACCTTTTGCCAGAGCGACGTTCAATAATGCAATCAAATAGAACTCGACCAAGGAAGGCAACAGTTGGCCATCTTTTGGCAATTGGAGGAATGGATTTAAATAAATCAGGCACAGGAATCGAAATTTATTCACTGAGAGAAAATAGTTGGAAAACTCATACTTACATGACCGCTAGACGTTTACAATTTGGTGCAGCAATAGTTAAAGACAGACTTCTTTTAGCAGGAGGAAGAGATGGCTTAAGAACATTAAACTCTGTTGAGTCTTATGATTTTAAAACCAAAACTTGGACCACATTACCATGTATGTCTACAAATCGTCATGGATTAGGAGTAGCTGTGTTGGAAGGTCCTTTTTATGCTGTTGGAGGCCATGACAGCTGGAGTTTTTTAAGTACAGTTGAAAGATGGGATCCTAGCACTAGAAAGTGGACTCATGTTTCTCCAATGTCGTCTCCACGATCTACAGTTGGTGTGGCTGTTTTAAATGATAAACTTTATGCTGTTGGTGGAAGAGATACCAGTTCATGTTTAAATACAGTAGAGTGCTATGATCCTCATTCAAATAAATGGACATCATGTGCTCCAATGTCCAAGCGTAGAGGCGGTGTTGGAGTTGGTGTATTAAATGGATGCTTATATGCTCTTGGTGGCCACGATGCACCATCCAGTAATCCTCATGCTAGTAGATTTGACTGTGTCGAACGATATGATCCAAAAACTGATACATGGACTGATGTTGCACCTATGAGTGTTGCGCGTGATGCTATGGGAGTATGTGTTTTAGGAGATAAATTATATGCTGTTGGTGGTTACGATGGTCAACAATATCTTGCTTTAGTTGAAGCTTATGATCCATTGCTCAATCAATGGGAACAAGTTACTCCATTAAAATCAGGCAGAGCAGGACCATGTGTAGTTGTAGATAATTTTGTTATTACATAATTCTATCTCATAAGAGAAACCGAGATTCTGTAGTAATCAGTATTTTTGATTAACAAGCAACATGGTTTGCATACTAATCAATCTTAATTAAATTTGAGAAAACTTGTGATATTTATTTATTTAGCTTATATTATTAAAAAATGTTAACGAAACATAGGGTTTTTTTCTTTTTACAAAAACAACAAAATGTATTATTTTATAAACTTAAAGCTAGCCAATGTATTATTTATCAAAGCACACTTTGTTATGAAAATTAAAAGTGTAAATTTTTTTTTCAAATAGATTTTTACTTTCATATGAAAATTAAATTACCATAAGTAACTTAGTAATATAAAAAGAATGGCTTAACAAACCAAGTAAGATAAGATAGTCTTATTAATGAGGAAAAATAAACTTGACTATTTCCAAAAAATTATAAAACGTCTTCTGATTGCCAAACCTCTTTATTTATAATTCCAATTTAAAAGGTCACGGGTGTTCATAGTTACAAAATCATAACGGTGCACTGTATCTAATACGTATAAATTAGGTTGCTTTTTTATTATAAAATTCTGGAATCTTGACTGTTACCGGTTACGGTCGTTTTTCGTATTATGCGCGGTTAAAGCGGCGCAAGTCGCGTGAGAAACGTTAGTGTATAATGTTCATGTTTACGATACACATACAATCACAGATGTACACACACTAGCGCAGCTATCGCACGTACAGTTCGAGCCGTGTTGTTCAATTGAATCGGCTCCGACTTGCAAGATATATATCAGGTGGTTTGCTGTAATAATCTTATTATCTATCTAGTCTGCGTTGCCGCTCGCTCTATCTCTCGTGTAATTAATTACGGGCTATTTCATCGACGACGACGAAAACGACGACTTGTGCGAGTGAACTATCACCTGCCAGCCAAAGCCGTCGCAGCAACATCACTCCCAAGAACACGATAATTTTACAACAAATCTCGTCCCGGGCATTTCATTAATGACCAGGTTAAAATGCATTTGTCAAGGCTAAGTTTGTGCTTGATTTTTGTTTGTCTCTGTGCAATCGAGTCCCAAGCAAATATCAATGATGACGTACCCTTAACCAAGCTAGGCTCAAAGTCTGGCCCAACTCTCAAGTTCTTTTATTGGTAAGTTGCGTTATTTACACTACAGTGACTCATTTCTGTACGTTTTTATTGATCATTCTCGTACGAAAATCGTTTCATCTTATTGATTGAAATTACTATTTGCTTTCAGTTACTCGTGTGGTTACAAAAAAGTTTTTGAGGACTATGTTAATATTTTACGCCAAAAGTATCCTGAACTACAGATTGATGGTGAGAATTACAATCCACCAGGAGCTAACATGATGATAGCGAAGGGTCTGGTAGGTTTAATTTTTTAAGAGCACCTTTTTTATTTTGATAATTATATAATTACTTACTTTTATCCTTTTTTAGGGTATAGCTAAAATTCTAGTCATTATATTAATATTCAACAAAATAAATATATTCCAATGGATGGGCCAACCACAACCATTTTGGTGGCAATGGTGCTTGGAAAACCGATTATACTCTTGTGTAATGTTATTCTTTGCGTGTAATGCTGCCGAAGGATATCTAATATCTTCAGGAGCTTTTGAAATACATTTCAATGGTAATTTTAATATTTTAAGTTATTTTCTACTTTCAAAATCTATATTATTTTTATTGATAACTTGTAATGACAAATATCTCTTGCATTATAGATGTCCCCATATGGTCAAAACTGGAAACTGGAAGAATACCCCAGCCACCAGAACTGTTTCAAATAATAGACACACACTTGCAAATGTTATTCCCAGATATGGAAAATGGAAAAATTGGTCTTAATAACTAGACTACACAGTTATTTAATTTTTTTATACATAAACTCATTTTCTTAACTAATTAAGTAAAGTTGTAAGATAATTCTGCAAATGTGAATTCTTTGATAGTGTTGGATATTTACATGGTATTTTTGATGGTGATCATTTGTAGAATTAACTGAAAATTAGAAGCTGCCAGAAAGCAATCAACTATACAAAATCAAACTTGATTAATATTTAAAAAAAATTAATATGGGTATATTGTAATGAATTCAATTGATGTCTAGAAGCAAAGCATAACACATGATGTATATTGCTATGAATGAATTATTATGTTTGTGTAAATATCTTATGACACACCAAAGGTTACACAATGAAGCATAGTAAGCTATCAAACTTATTTATGCCATCAAAACGTCGGACATTTAAGTATGTACGAGTTTTTATTTGACTCCGTTTTTTAACTATGCATTTAAAAATTGTATTTTTCGTAATCTTCATTTGTTACTTTATTACATGCTCTAATAAAATATTTTGATCTCCATTGTAAGCATTAAAACGATTTTTAAACAGAAACCTATCCATTAAGTATCTATCTATCTTAATTTAACTTGGACTTTGGACAGTTCAAATTGTTATGCTCGTTTAAAATACTCGACTCGATAGTTGGCGCCACCTAGAAGCGAGTTCCTCCAAGATTTTCGATCGTATACGATTGTTGTTATTATCACTGTATTCTGGATGCATTACTGTAAGTATAAGCAAGCAAGCACTCAGCAATACGCGTGCTGAATTAAATGTCGGTGTGTGTGGCGTTACACGTTTTAAGGTTATAATATAGAAATAATTCGCGAAAAATGTTTCTATAAACGAATTCGCAGCATACAAGTGATATGTAGTCATTGAGTAACTGAACAATTTGAAGTAATCACACAATACCTCTTCTACGAATATCGAGACTGATACAAACGTAACATATCATTGTTACTCATTCGCCGCACTGTAAACAGTCTTTAAGACAGATACATTTTTAGTACTTGGTAATTCATTCACGATCTTTCAATGTTATCCCTAACGATGTGTATCCATCAAATATGACCATATTTTTTATAACCTAAACTATTTGATTTTTTCAGATTTAATCCCGTAGTATTTTATCTTGGAATCGTGAATTTTAGCGGCATCGTGAGTAATAATTGATTTTAGTTCGATTCCATTGAAAAAGTATATTATTTTTTACTGAATCATGGTTTTTCTGCCACTAAATGTATCTAGGTACATGAAGCCATCTAACAAGAATTCCATTCTGCACATAAAAGATTATCGTTTTACTTAGCTATAATTTACTAGTACATTTTCCAATTATGATTGTTAAGTAACCAAGTTATAGATATCCAATGTCTAGGAACAACATTTTAAAGAAATTATGAGTTATATCCAGTTACTATCTTATGATTAGTTGATCATTGTAAATGACTGCATAATTAAAGATTAAAGATGTCAGATAAAGGTTTAATGAAGCAGCTCACAGAGCAAAAGCTCAAAGCTTTTTCAATTGGTACTATGGGTAAAAGACCCATGAGTAAAAAGGAAGTTGAAGAGATAAGAAAGAAAGAACAAGAACAAGCGGCAGCTCAGGCATTTGAAGAGTTTGTTGCTACATTTCATAATGATAGTAATAAAAATTCTAATAAAGTATGGGTCAAAGCTGGTACTTATGATGCTGGTAAAAGACAAGAAGATACTAAAGAAAAAGGAAAATTATACAAACCTCAACCTAAAATGGGTGACTTTGGAGTCCCTGATTCTGGACCAGATTACACAAAATTTCTGATTACTAGCAATGAACGAAAACAAGACAGACTTGGTAAAAAGAAAAAAGATGGAGAAAAAAAGAAAAGTAACCTTGAATTATTTAAAGAGGAATTAAAAAAGAATCAAGAAGAACGAGAAGAACGTTATAAATATAAAGGAAGTGGAAAAGTTTCAAACACAAGCCATGGTGATGATGCTGTAGCACCAACTTTAAAGGGAGATAATGCTGGATTTACTGAGGGTTCTTTTGATAATGGAGATCCAAATACTACTAATTTATATCTGGGAAACTTGAATCCCAAAATTACAGAACAACAATTAATGGAAATATTTGGAAAATATGGACCTTTGGCTAGTATTAAAATCATGTGGCCTAGAAGTGATGAAGAAAAAGCTAGGCAGCGAAATTGTGGTTTTGTGGCTTTCATGTGCAGAAAAGATGGTGAAAGAGCACTAAAAAACCTCAATGGACGCGATGTGATGCAATATGAAATGAAACTTGGCTGGGGTAAAAGTGTACCAATTCCTCCTTACCCAATATATATTCCACCAGCTTTGATAGATCTCACACAACCACCACCTCCTTCAGGCTTGCCTTTTAATGCACAGCCACACAGGCGAGATAAAAATAAATTGCCTAGAATTAGAAATTTACAAAATCCAGACCCTCAAGATAAAGAAAATTTTGAAAAAATTCTTCAGAATGCAGTTGTGAAAGTGGTCATCCCAACAGAAAGAAATTTGGTCATGCTGATACATAGGATGGTAGAATTTGTAGTGAGAGAAGGACCTATGTTTGAAGCTATGATTATGAATAGGGAAATAAACAATCCAATGTTTCGATTTTTATTCGAAAATCATTCTCCAGCACATACGTATTATCGATGGAAAATGTTTTCTATATTGCAAGGTGAAACTCCGAAAGAGTGGCGAACGGAAGACTTCAGAATGTTCAAAGGTGGCAGTATATGGCGTCCACCTCCAATGAACCCATGGACGCAAGGAATGCCGGAAGATCTGGTGGAGCCAGATGAAAAACCTGAGTCCAGAAGGGGGACTCTGTCCAACAGTCAGAGAGAAAGGCTGGAAGATTTACTGAGGACCATAACACCCGAAAGAATCAAAGTCGCCGAGGCAATGGTGTTCTGCATCGAGCACGCAGAGGCCGCTGAAGAGATTTGCGATTGCATCGCGGAATCGTTGTCAATTTTGCAAACCCCAGTGAACAAAAAAATTGCCAGGCTCTATCTTATATCAGACATTTTGCACAACTGCGGTGTCAAAGTCAATAACGCCACTATATTCCGCAAGGCTTTTGAGTGCAGATTGATCGAGATTTTTAGCGCCGTGCACCTAGCTTATAAGCAATTTGACAGCCGATTGAAGGCTGAAGGCTTCAAAGTGCGCATGATGCGTATCTTTCGAGCTTGGGAAGACTGGGCCGTCTATCCACGTGAGTTTTTGGTGAAGCTACAAAACACTTTCTTAGGATTAAATCAAGTAACCGAGGAGCCGGAGCAAGAGGCCGAGGAAGATATCGATGGTATGCCTTTATCAGATGCCGACAACGATGTTGCCGAAGATTTGGACGGCGTTCCTCTGGACGGGGCCGCCTTACTCAAAGGAGCCATGAAACTCGGCCTAGCGTCGAAGCCGAAACCGAGCTACGACGACATTGACGGTGTCCCCATGGACGATGACATTGACGGCGTGCCCATGGACGACGAGGACGACGACGGTGATTCTGGCGCGAATCGAGCTCGAGGTGGCGGCGGTGGCAGCGATAGCAACGACAAGCTCTACATGCCCGGCTTCGTGCCATCCAAATGGGAAACGGTCGATCCGGATCAGGTCGAGGCGCAAGCCATGACAACCAACAAATGGGACGAGCTGGAGCAGAACGACGACTCTCAGGAGAACAGCATAGACTCCAGGGACTACAACGAGGAGCGACGCAACAAGTTACGCGAAATCGAAGTCAAAGCTATGCAATACCAAGACGAGCTGGAGAGCGGTAAGCGCAGCATCAAGCCGGGAATGAGCATCCAGGCGCAGGTCGAGCATTATCGTAAGAAGCTCATCAAGAAGAGCGAGCGAGATTCCAAGGACAGCAAGTCGCTGGCGTCGAGCGCCGGTGACGACCGGGACGACGAGCAGTTGCTGCGTCGTCGTGACAGGAAGCAACGAAGCGCTTCGCCCGACTCGCAGCCGCCGACCCCGTACTACAAGGACAGCCGCAGTAGTCGACGTGGCTCGCAGAGCCCGTTGCCCCTCTCGAAGAGTAGCGGCCGCTACAGGTCTCGCAGCAAGTCACCGCGAGGCAAGAGGGGAGGCCGATCGCGCTCGCCCCTGCACAAAAAGTCGCGCTCACAGATCACGCCGTCGCCGCCGAGGATGCGCCGCTCGCCTTCGCCCAACTTTTCGTCCTCGAGATCGTCGCGCAAATCGCCGGATCGCAAGAGGCGTGCCGGTCGCTCGCCCTCCAACTCGCCCACGCCTAGCTCGAGATCTTCCAAGCACAGAGCCGCGAGTCCAATGTCTCCGACCCCCCGCAAGCATCGACACAAGCACAAATATTGAAGAAACTAGCATCTCGTCACGATGAGTGTCCGTTAACGGCCATTTAAATTGGTTTTATCAATTGACCAATTTTGTACATTGTTCATTTTACCATGGATCACCTTTTTCTTAAGTTTTGTGCTTCTGATTAATTAATGAATTATTGTAATTATAAATAGAAAACTATTATTTGTAAAAGTAGCAGCATACAGCTAATATAATATCAATTCTGTAAAATAATCTCTTTATTTTCATGTATCAATTTTTCTTATTTTAATACAGTGATAATGAATTTTTAGCATCATGTTCTTCAATTGTAAGATCAAAACAAAAATCAATTAATATGTAAGGCAGACAATTACTACGAAGATATTTGCAACTGTCATGCATTATCAATTGCGCGTCGCCATTGTCATTAACTAGTTTGTAATATCAAATGAAAAAGATGAAACTTTACATTTTGAATGAAATGTAAAATTATAATATTGTGAGAATAAAAATACACTTTGTCTGAATGTAAATCGTGACTAACTTTCATGAATGCCCACTTATACTTGCGTACATATTAAAATGCAAAAAGGTAATTGTTGCGCACTTTCGTATGTGCGCACTCATACTTGAAAAAGTGCGCGCTTTCGCATTGTCGCACGCGCGCATTGCAAAATATTCTCGCACTACAACCTGGCGCTATCTCGCGCGTGAAGGGAGAGAAGAAAGACGCGCCGCGCTTTGGCGAATTTTCGAGCAAAACCCACAACGTTCGCGAGACGACTCTGTCTGGCAGTCTATGTAGCTTGAACAGTAACTGATCACTTACGCAGAGAGCAAGAACAGCGACAAAGTATATTTTGAAAACGTCACGCCGTTCAAGAGGTTAATATAACCGGTATACAAAATAAATAAAGTTTGTTTTTTTTCTTTCTCGTACTTAAATCAGAAAAGAAGCGAGTCTAGAACGATTTGCCGTGATAATAATATTGCAAAAATGGAGCATCAATGCCAGTGTGGCCATGCCCATGACGAGACCAATCTAGGAGTTCAATACAGTCTTCACGAAAAAATTGATTTGCAAAACGTTGAGTGCTTGAACGAGGTAGTCGAAGGGTCTGGAGCCAAAATTTTCAAGTCGTGGGAAAATCGTCTTGATCATACAGAGGTATTAACTATATATCCTTCTAGCACCCTTAACTGTTTATCTTTCAAAACTCTGTGATTATCATAAACAATGCTTCATGTTTATCGAGAATAAATTTTCAATGTTTTTATTTCAGTACGTGGAAAGTGACGTCGACGAGGAGTTGCTTTTCAACATACCGTGAGTATCCGATCTTTCATAAATTTAGCCGTAAATTTTTAAGACAAGATTATAAAATGTTATTCTGTTTTTTATCAGATTTACTGGGGATGTAAAACTCAAAGGCATAATCATTGTTGGGGGTCCAGATAATTCACATCCATCGGTTGTTAAAATGTAAGTTAATCATTGTGTGTAGGGCTTGTTTATGTATTGCAATAAAAAACTTTATTGAATATTATATTTATATTATAGGTTTAAAAATAGAGAAGGTATGACTTTTGATGAAGCTGGAAGCAAAGCAGATCAACAATTTGAGCTTGTCAAAGATGATCACGGAGTACATGAATATCCTGTAAAGTAAGTAAAATTGTGCTTTCACTATTAAGCAGAAAATATATTTAGTGAAGTAAAATCTAAATACATGTTAACTATAACATAATTATTTTACCTTGTAGAGCGGCTATATTTTCATCAGTTCATCATTTGACTTTGCACTTCACCGGTAACAGTGGTGCTGAGAAAACTAGAATCGATTACATTGGTCTCAAAGGTGAATGGTCACCAGGTCATCGTCATGGAGTAACCATCTGTACATATGAAGCAATGCCACAGCACGGTGATCACATTGATCCTGAAAATCCATTTGACGATTTTTCTCGTGAAATATCGTAAATTCATTACAAATCATCAAGTAATGCTTACTTTCAATTCATTATCATTAAAAATCGCGATTTCATCTTCTACTTTGATTTAACGTTCAAATAATTTGCTTTTTTTAAATTTTCACTTGAATGATCAATCATGTATTTTATTAAAAATTCACATCGTTTATTAGTTAATATCAAATACTTAGTACATAAGACGATACAACAAAAAAAAAAATTAAGCTGTGATTAATCTGTGCTTGTAAGCTTGAAACTGTACAAAAGTAAAAACGTAATTATATTAATGAATTCGATGTAAAAGTACAGTACTCTGTTTCTTTGAACAGCATCAAGCGCAAAAGAGCATGAAATAAATGAGTTTTCTATATTTAAAATAATTGGTGCATTAATTACTAAAAAGAAACAAACAAATGAACAAATAAATTAAGGAAATCGGATCGACTGGAAAGCTCAGAGCGTTGCCTGGAAACGGTGGAGTGCTAAAAATCTCTGGTTTACGAAAAAAAGGGGTGAAAGCACTCCATCCCCACACGATTTCAGTGGGTTAGTCGTTTAGCGACCCACAAATATATATGCACACATGCAGCAAAGTCAAAGCTCTGCAGCAGCAGCAGCAGAGCCAGTGGCAAGAGAGGGAGGGAGTCGAATTTTATTTTAAGTCGCGCAGGGAGGTAGACGTACACGTACGTAGACTAGCTGCCAGTATATATTAGCGCTACATATAGCAACGAAGTCAAATGTAAATTGTTATAATGAAACGAAAGAAGGTTGGCTATCTCGACGTATATCCACTGTAGCGCGAAAAAGAAAGAGTATATAACAGTGGCAGCAGCATCAGCAAATCGAGCCGAATGCAGAAATGGGAGGGCAGAGAGCAGCGACGACGGTGGTGAGTGCCGCTGCCACTGCTGCTGCTGCTGGTTGAGTAAGTCTCGCCGTCGTCGACTTTAAACTCTGCTGCTGTGCACTCGCGGGCCGCAGTGCGCCGACTTTGAGAGAGACAGAGAGTAGGCGACATCAGCAGCAGCAGCAGTGGCAGCAGTACACGTGCGCGAATGCAAAAAGCCACGATATACATATATAGATATATATATATATAGAGGAAGAGCAGTAGCGCAGAGCTACATAACGCGCGCGAGAGGGAAAGAGTCGGAGAGTTTTCCCCCCCGGAGCAGAAAAGTGCATCGAGGCGCGCGATACAGCAGCCAGTTGGTTGGTGCTCGTCGTCGACGTCGGCTCAACGCACCGACGACTAGACGTTGAAGCAGCAGCAGCAGCATCAGCAACTATTTTTACAACGAGGCACGACAACGTATTAGTTGCTGAGAGAGAGAGAGAGCTGCACGAAGGAAAGAAAGTTCGGTCGATCTTTGCTGCAGTGTCGTCACACACACGCACATAAAAAAGTTCAACGCGCACAAGAGAGAGGAAAAAAATCGGGTATCTATTTGTTTTATTTCAAGAAAAAAAAGTCGGAGTGGCGAGCTTGCGGCGATCATGGGAGAACGGTATCGATGCAGCAGCATAACAAGCAGCAGCAGCAGCAGCAGCGTCGAAATCGATCTCTGCAGCCGCAAGCGCTGGGCCAAGTATTGCACTACTGGCATCAGCTGCAGCAGCAGCTGACCTACAGCCGGCAACTTTGATTGCTCAACGCGCGAGTACGTTGCACTTTCGGCGGATCAGGAGCTTGCGGCCAGGGGCCTCGTCGACGAAGCCCAAGCAGCATCAGCAGCAGCACAATAGAAAGAGGCCTCGGAGAGGCATCGGAAAATTATAACGAGTGAGTACGATACACATTATACGATTACATTACGTATCCGCTAGTCGCGTGTTTTTTTTCCATGGCAAAGAGAGAAAGAGAGATAATAGGATTTATTTATACGCTCGAATGCTGTATAATATCTAGAGTGTAGCTCTGCTGCCGCTGCTGTGACTGTCGCGAGGGCTTATCGACGCTCTGCTCCCGCGCTCCCTTATACACGTTATACGGCCAACCACATTATTACGTATACACACAAAGGCGTACGAGCATGTATAATAACGATATGGACATGTGTGTGTGTGTGTCGCGAAGCGGAGTACGCGTATATATAACGGCTGTGCGCGCGCGACCTTTGACTCCTTTCGGGGCTCTGGCGCGCTCCGATTCGCGGCCGACCGAGCGAGCGCTCGAGACTTGCACGAACGAGCCGTGCCTATATACACGATACAAACACACAATTATGTATTAAATGTAGATATACATATAATTTCAGTCGCGTTGCCGCACAGCTGATAACCGAGTCGCGCATTTCTCTCTCGGCTCGTTATACGTTGTCCGCAAGTCGCTTTTGCATTTTTCATCCCACACGAAACGATTTGCCTCTCGCTCGTGCGTTTACTGTATCCACGGGGGACACCCGGCGGAGTGCGACGGGGCTTTGTAATGCACGTGTAAACGCGTGCGTACGTACGTTGCGTGTAAATTGCCGCGCGCGGCACGTGCCTCGGTGAGAAAAATCGCGTGGGCCGAATATCCGCTGACTGTGTACTTGATTATTATTATATATGCGCCCGAGATACGCGAGGCATACAGCGAAAAGCTGCGGTATTTCCTCGTTCGACGCAGTATAAATCTATATATATAAAGCGAAGTTGGTGTCTGTTTGTCCTTTATGATCTCAAAAACTATTTGTCCAATCGGCTTGAAATTTTTACCACATATTTATTATACCACTGCGCAGGTTTCTATCATATTAAAACCATTATTTGCTTATTTATTTTTGAGTTCAGAATTTTTTTCGTATTTTACCACTTTGCGCGCTCGCTCGCCCCTTGCACGGTTAATGGTTATAAAAAAGACCGAAAGCAGTTGTTTTTTTTACACGCGGTGAATCGGAATACATTGTATTTGACGTGTACATGTGCTATTACGCTATTCGAGTTTTACAAGTGTGTGAACTCAACTCATAGATTTCCTACTACGCACTTGACGTGACCTGTTTAAGATCTTTTAAGCAGTCGAATTTGTTGAAAAAATTGAACGTGGGCGAAGCCACGACGGGGTCGCTAGTATTTAATAAATACCCTCGTACACAATTCCTAACGACAATAGTTCGCTCCGTTCGTTCTATTGTACTCTCGCTGCAGCCTTTCTTTTTCTATTGCATTGTTTTCCGTGACTCGCGCGCGCGTCTTGAGATTTCGTCAACTTCGATCGACGATCGAGGAAATTTCATGCAGCTATGCTGACCAAGCGAAATCTATGGAATTCTACGATCGATCGTCTATTATTATGGCTTATATTTTTATCAACGTCAATCCAAATTATTGTCATTGAAGTAAAAAAAGAAAAACAGCCGAATCATGCAACTTATGACTCGGAGAAAATAAAATACTTTAAAATACTAATCTGTTAATGATCGAGCGTTTATAATGGCTTTTCGAGATCGATTAATGAAATGTTTGCAGCTTTTTGGGCTCGCACACGTGCGTGTGTGTCTGCGGCCACACAGCATTGAATTCGCAATTATTCAAAAGTACTCTGCGTTGGATGAGTTACACGAAAATTCGTGCTACAATCTGAGAGTTTTTGGCAGAGCCGCGCACCACTTATCCCGAGTGCCGTAATGGATTTATAAATCTTAATGGTTGTATCAGATAATCGGCCAGAGATAAGAGCGTTTTGGTAACGACGTTAAATCGTAATACCGTTAAAAAAATCCCAACGATTTATTGCCTCTCAATTAACTCATCAATTAACTCTCTCCGTCGATTCATTCTCTTTACCGATAAGCTGTACCTGGTTTTTTTTCATTATTACAGAAGTCGACTAGACAAAGGCAGAATAAGTAGGCGTTAAAAAATTACTCGAATTCATTATGGTTCATCATGCTTATCAGTCAATTCCGTGCGCGTGCATTAATTTTTTTTAACGGTTATGGGCATTGTAAAGCATCGTCGATCGACTTCCCACGCCGATAAATATACGGTTGCATCGTAAAGTGCACGTTAAAAACTCATCGGCTGTTGTCGAGTCATTTAGCCCATTAGACGCGGATCGGGAGGAAAGGGGAATGCTTTTTTTCTCCGGATCCAAATCGATCAATTAATAAATGAGAAGACAGGGATGATTCAGAGATAACGAAAACACAAAATAACAAGCATTTTTTCTATCATCTGCTGCGTATCTGAATCTGCAACTGCTAGTGGATAGAGATAGAGAGTGAATTATTTATACACATGACACTAGTGCAAGACGAGATGTCTCACGCTTATACGGCATGTCACGTATAGATGCATCGACTTATGCGCTCGTTTAATTTGGCACAAAGGAAACTTACTGCGACCGCTGCTTGTTGTATATAATACATTCACTCTCGCTCGCACACGCTGTATCGTGGCTTTTTTTTCTCTCTTCGTTCATTATTGTCATCATTATTATTATTTTGTTGTTTTTTTCTTCTTTTTTTGTTTTCTTCCAAGCTGTCGGCTTTCATTTGTCCGATCACTGCTCTCTTTTATTCGCATATATGTATGACAAACCGGCCGTTTACGGAGAGTGCAATGAGCCAGCGGATAACGGGATGACGCGTGTCTGCGCTTCTGTGTGCGTGTGCTTTTCCGCGAGTTCGATTCGCGCTCGAGACGATCTCGCACTTGTTTGTTATTATTTTATTTTTTATCATTCGTTTCCTTGTCGGAAGAATGCAACGAATTTGGTATTTATCGTTTCATTGCCACCGATTGCATATAATACGCGCGCGCGTGTATGTGTGACTTGCAGCATGCACGATGCACACATTACGAATCGATCGTCCTTGTGATCCGACGCTCTTATAACGATCGGCACGTCGTGGTGTTTTGACAATTTCTGCAACGATCGCGCGAAATCTCCAACATCTAATCTGCGCGCGCGCGAAAAAATGCCGATCGATCGGTAGCTCGCCTCGTATGTGTGTGGGTGGGTGTGCGTAATGACGACGACGATCGCGATTCGAGTTTTCCACGCCGCTCGCACATACCGAGAAAGTATAAGTTTAATTTCTCGATGTAATTGCAACGCAACAAATATACAAACACACGCACGAACGAGTCATAAGCGGATCGAGACCCGTCATCTTTGTCAGGTCGAATCGCGCCGTGAGGGAAATGCCAAGAGAGCTTTACAGCGACAGTAGCAGCAGCAGCATTATCGAGCTCTAAGATTATGTAAAAATAAAAGTCATATGAGAAAGATATAATACCCCGATCAGCCAATAACTTTTATCGCACTCTCGCTCTCGAGTAAAACTCACACAAGCCAATGTATATAAGTACCGTGATTTGTGTATGCGAAGGAGGTACCTGTGTGTACCCACACACTCGCGTGTATAATATAATATAATACCGAGGCTTATTACAGGCCGATGATAACTGGTTTGTTAACGAGCTTTCGTCGTCTTATCTCGTCGCTTTGCAGTTGTACTTGTCCGCGAAATGAACGAAAGGAAAAAAATATAAAAAAAGAAGAAAAATGAGAGAGAATGAAAAAAAAAAACAATTGACAAGCGAGCGAGTCGCGAAAAATCTCTAATCGTATTATCGAGGCGCGAAGAAGCGTTACAATGTCGTTGCAGATACATACATTGTTTTATTATTTTTTTTACTCTCTCTCGATTAATCGTTGCACACGCGCCCGAGTGCGCACAAGTGTCGGACACACGCACACTTCGCAGTTATATATACAGCTCATCGTGTTGATATCGAGTCCGCGCTCCGAGTTGTAATTTGCCTAGATACTTTTCGAGGCATTCCATTTTTCTCCTGTCGCAAGCAGCAGCAGCAGCAGCAGCAGCAGCAGCGAGGCACGCTCGGATAGTCACGTGCCGTTATCGTCGTTTAGCGAGCGCTGACTCGTCGGCGCGCTGATCGAGATATTCATATTATAACCCGGCGCATATAATACGATCCTTTTATGATGTACTTATGTGCGATATCGTCAAAGTTAATAAAATATGCGTGCAATTGTATGTATCCATGTACGTGCATTATGAAGCATTTGAGCGAAAAGTAGCCGCAATGAATCGGCTCGAACCGGCGAGCGAAAAACCCGAGATTTCGATATTATATACCGGACTCGAGAGCTGCTAGGCCGCGATATCGATCGGAATTCGCGGAGATATAGTCAAAAGAGCAGAAAAAACCAATCAAGCATTCGCCGAGTCGTGTAGATACGTGCCAGTAGGAGCGTAAAAATAAAATAAAAATAAAAAATTCGCATAATAAATCGGTAGCAACAAAATTGATGTAGCTTACGGTATCGGTCGGGGCGTAAAAATAACATTATGATGTTTAACGCGAAACGAAAACACACCGATCGATCTTTGATTCGTTCTGTCCCTCTCATAAACTCCACACACATACACGCACGTACACAATATGTTAACCCGCTGGTGATCAATCGTTATCTCATCTCCGTGGCTGAATCGTACTTACGACAATCGTATATAAATGCGAAAATAATAATTTTGCTCTTTCAACGATTACAACGCGCACGGAGCAAAGTAATTCTGAATTTATATTTCAATCGATGTGTTTCAGCTCTGGCGCACAGTTGAACGGGATCCTCCTCGCTCAAGCTTCACTGATCGCGCTTGGGAGAGAGAGCTTTTTTCATTTTGTTCGCCTACACACGCACACGTACGAGCAGCTTATAAAGAAGTTACGCGCTGGATGATAGACTTCATTGAGCCATGCGGACGTATCGAACCGCAGCAAGCTCGAGCAGGTAAGCGTGCGAAATCGCGCGTAAGCGATGCTATTTGATACGATATAATAGTATATATTTTTCGCGCCGCCATAGGCGCGCACCACGTGCTATTTACACGCGCGCGCACTCGCGTATCTATCAATTTATGTGATATATTTGCCCGAGAGTCTCGCCGTGTACACATAGGTATCTTCTCTTCTACGATATAATAAACACGCGCAGCCGTGAGATAGGACACAGATAGAAATCTGCGAGTGACTACTTGATGCGACGCATCATATATGTATATACAGGGCATCATCGCCCTAATAGCTAAATATAAAATTGTTCAGTTTCGGAGTCGTCGTCGTTGGTCGGTGTTGGTGGTGGTGGTGTTGGTGGCGGTGGCGGCAACTTCTCGTTTGGGATATCTAACTTCCGCTCTCCCCTCTTTACCCCGTATCTGACCTGCTCCCATGTCGCTCGTCCAGCGCGCATCAAGCTCTATACTTACGTATATCGCCACGGGAAGAGAGTCACGCACATGTACGACCAACACACATGCAGCAGCAGCAGCAGCAGCAGTAAGGCACATACTACGGAGTCGGAGTTTTTGCGGGAGCCTAATCGAGATATATACCACGCAGGAAAGAGAGAAAGAGAAAGAAAGAAAGACTTACTTACACACACATTGGCACTGGCGGGGTATGTACATACGAAAACACAGACACACGCGTAACATACACATAACACGATCGTCGTCGTCGTCGTCCGTCGCTTATTACTCTCGGCTTTCGACTCGCCGGCCCGGCAGTATCGCGTCAGTTGTTAAGCCGCACGCACCGTATGCGTACACAGCACAGGTCGACTCCGAGCGACTACCACTACTCAAGTTTTTCGCACTTGCATCGCATGCACTTTTTGTTCGCGCGTGTCGTCCTCGTCGCCGCCGTATAATTTTAAAAGCAAACTGTGACACGGATCGCTAACGCGTCGAATATTTATCGAGAGAGAGGCAATTAATAATTAGTCGTTGCACTTTTGTATTGTTAAAAAAGGCATAGCCAGCAGCAGCTTGAGCAGCATCAGATACAGAAGCATCGATCCACTGATCAGAGACAGCAGACAAGCGGTCGAGTAGCAGCAGAGAGAGATGCGGGGCTGGCCAGCCTTCGGCACCGGTAATCGTCAAGCAGCAACGCGAAGCTCGGCCAGTACTTGCGGCCACATAAGCAGCAGCATCAGCAATTGCGAAGCTCCGCTGCTCACTCTATGACACAGAGCGCCTCGACTTGTCTTCCTGATATCGAGGACGTGAATCAATTTGTAAAGGGAAAAAAAATACGGAAAAACAAACAAACGGACGAAAACGCACGTTTGATTAAGCCTGACTCGAGATAGAGACAGTTTATCGTGTACGCAATTGTCATTGCTCTCGGCTCGACGCGGCGCAGTGCAGCAGCAGAAAATATATTTGCCCATTCGCGTGTATCCAAAAATTTCGCTCGCGACACATTATTGCATCATAACGACCGGCAACTGAGAGTTCTTACACATATACAGATACATACGCCGAGTAAGAAGCAGCAGCAGCAGAAGCAGAGGGAAGAGCGCGCGCCTGCTTTTATACCAGGGAGAGAGAGAGAATAATCACAACAATAGTAACCCGCGCGCCATACCATGGGACACATACCGGACGAGAAGCAGAACGGCAAAGCGGCGGGCGGCACTAAGAGGCCCGCATCACCCAGCGCCTCGGCCAACCTCAACGAGGAGGTTGTCGTCGCCCCGACGGCGCCCGACGGTGGCTGGGGATGGGCCGTCGTCTTCGCGTCCTTCATGGTTCATCTGCTGAGTGAGTATTACTTAACGTCATTACAATTTATGTGCTTCTTTTCTTTCTTCTTATAATTAATTTTAGAAATTAACCGTGCTTTATCTTTATAATGTGATTGTCGATTTTTCTGATCGAATCATTAGAATCCAATTAGTTGCAGGCACAATTAGAAAGTGAATATCGAGATTGAGACAGAAAGTGAGTGAGTGAGCGAGAGATAAGCACGAGCGATGACGTTTTAATTAGTACCCTAATTAAATATGATGCTTAATGCTTAATGTAATATGATATTGTTTTTAAATGTGTAAATGTGTGCGAGTGTGTGTGTGTGCAATCTTTGATTGCATCGCTACGAGCTGTACAGATAGATAGAGACTCAGGATAAAACGGAGTGATTAGAGAATAATAACCGCTTGCTCGTCAGCATGTGTTTTGTATATTATACGGAGGGAGAGACAACCCGCGAGCAGCTGCAGCAGCTGTCAATATACATTATACGCGTGTGCGAGCGCGATGCAATGCGATGGCAAAAGCCAACATCGAACGAGGAAAGCGTATCGCACATATCTCGGCTATGACCTCTTTTGCTTATTAATACAATAAAAACGCGACCTACACTCAAATGAACCACGCATGGCATACCAATCCTGCCTACGTATTCTTCGTTTAGATTTATTCTCGTTCATTTTTTTCTCATTCCTCTCAGAGTGCTAGCCCCGGTTTTGACGGGCAATTATAAGCAAAAGAACAAGTAGAAGAAGGGAAAAATTGAATAAAATAATCGTGGAGCTTCTGTTGGACGCGCGTTCCCGCGAGCATCGTGTCTGTGTGCTATAGCATATTTATATTTGTCGCTCGCCGGCGTCTGGTGCGCGCGAAACTTGCCCAAGACGCGCGGCGCGTGTTTTCTGCCTTATATACATATATTAAACTAGTGTCAGCAGCAGTAAATTGACTCGGGAATCTTGCCTTCTTATTGATGTTTACACTTGGATTCGTGTCTAATATCTATATACGATCGGCGGGGATCAGTCGTGTGTATTTTGCGACTGACTTAGTTTCTACTGCTGTTACTGATAAAGGCACGCCGCGAGCAATACGTGTAATACGCAAACATAAATCGTGTATACAATATGTAATAATAAATGAATAATGTCGCGCACGGGAGTTTATGTGTCTGCAGGTCTGCAGTTGCACTATATACGTGCATCAGAGATGTATTTATGCATCGATCTGCAGTGCAGTGTGCAGCAGTGCAGCAACACAATAATCGAAAGAGAGAGAGAGAGACCGGATGACTCGCGAACTCGATTTTTTTCCTCTCTCCTTTATACACGCCATCGTACACGATAATGGTTGTGCCTTGTCACTTTTCTAGCGGTCAGCGCTGCTACTTGCCTCCTTATTAGCCGCTCATTAGTCCGAATTCGAGAGAGAAAACTTCCTTCTTTGCTTAATAGCTTGGCGCTCAATGATGCATTAATGCCACATAAACGCGTGTACGCACAGAGCACACAAGCACTTGTGTGCATTCGAACCCGTTGTCTACTTTTTTTTTCTTATACTTGCGCGATATGCGTCAGAATACGAGCGAAAAGGAAAAGAGCGAGGAAGAAAGAAACAAAAGCTCCCCGAGAAAAGTATATGATATACGATGCGTTAATCATTAAACGGTAGTTATAAATGTCACAGACACTCAGTCGTGTGCGGCGCGGCATTGTTTGCTCGTGAACAACAAAACATCCAACTCGCGTAAATTTTAATACCCGCGAGATATTTCTGCAGCTTTCAGCGCGACGGTAGCAGTCTCTCTCCCTCGTTTCTTTTAATATTTATGACCGCAAAAAGCTGATAACGAGACGTTTGCAACTTTTATCGTTATATATATTATTATATTGTAAATTATAGGCGCTCGCCCAATACTGCGGTGGAAAAAGCTTGCATGTATATCGATATAAACGTGCCTCGGTGACACGATCGCATGAAGTCTGACCGACGGAGCTTACATACACACACACACACACACATACACACGGGCATAACGCGTTTTATATAAACGGATACTTTATATTGAATTACACTCGTTGAATGCGCGCGACGCGACGTGATGCGACGATGGAATATTTTGTGCATTATTAATTCATGTACGCGCGACCCGAAGAAAAGCAGAAAAACAACTACTCCTCCGACTATTACACCAATGAATAGCCGATATATAGTCAAAAAGAGGTAGCGTCGACGATTTTCGCCTTTCGAATACTTGACCTTTGTAACGTATATTGAAGACGACGACGACGACGACGACACGAATCTCGCGAAGCAGCGGCAGCAGAGCTCGTATCGTGCCAAAAATCGTCGTAAAATTGGATCGGCTCCTACGTCTGCATATGTACGTGTATGTGTCGTCGTCGTCGTCGTCGTCGAGCCGAGCACGAAAGCTCGCAAGCTCCGCAATATACTGCTGCGCACGCACGAGCTCGATGCAAAAAGCCCAGCAACAGTATAATAATGTCCGTATTAAAGTATTATCGTAAAGAGCTATTATAGTATTATAAACGATATACAAGCGAGAGAGAGAGAGCGAGCGGGCGAGCGAGAGCGAGATCGCGAATAAATAACACGAGTAATACCACCGATCGACTCGAACTGTACGACTCGACGCGCTGCTCTCGTCACTCGCGTGCGCGTGTAAGTATAACATAGCCGTGCTAGCGTAGGTGTGAGAAAATTGCCAAAACGCGAGAAAATTGCCAAACATGCCTCGAGAGCCAAATAGTCTGTACGCGCGGTTCATGCGATACTTTTTGCGCCGATCTCGAATCCTATGTATACTATAATGCTCAATTGTCGATTCTAACGCTATAAACGCTAGCAGCTGCATGCGCGTACGATATACACTAGATGCAGCTCGGCTTTGACTCCGGTTTTTACGCAACTCGACTGCCGCATGATACAGTCGGCCATTCGCTACCCTTTCGTTGGTTCGTATCTCGCTGGAATATCACTAGGAGCTACTACTGCCGCTGCTGACGTATAATTCGCAATGATTTATTAAGTCGGGCAGTCTCCGCCGTGTATATGTGTATATATACCGAAGCTGAAACGAAATATTAATGCATCGATCTTTATAGCGTCTAGCTCGGCTCGGCAGCTTGCGTAATTCCCTGTCGCAGCTAATCAGCTGCTTCGAGTCTTTATGGATTATATACTGGCAGTGGCATGAGCAGCAGCATAAAAGTCGCGATCGCGAACTGGACGACAAAATTCGACGTCGAAGCTGTACACCTTTACTATAAATATATAATTTACATCAATTACGTAACGCTGCACCTTCGTAGTCGTCGTCGACGTAGTCTTCTTCGTCGTCGTCGCGAGTCATTACCGAACGAGATTCGACCGACGAGCTTCGGGGAATATGCGCGCATTTTTGGCCCAACTTCATCGAGCAATAATCGATTCGAAATTCTTTTCTCCCACCTTTGCACGATACGTTCAGATATATAATAATGACGCGCGTGATGTATAACTCGAAAAGTATATAATTTACGACAGGTCGTTGATGAAGCAACGAGATGCACGCGTACACAATGTATAAATAATAATCGAGGTGGAGCTTTTCACATCGTGCCATATAGCTTCTTGATCGTATTAAACGACCAAGGCTTGCATCCTTGAAACGATTTACCCTTTTAGCAACTTGCTTCGCATTTGAAAGTTTATAAAAAACAAAAACAAACGATTCATTGTAGTTTCCAATTGATATTTGACTCAGTTACACCATTCGAGCACGAGACGATAAGGCCCGCAATTTATTATCGGCAGCTGGCAGCTTTTATCTGCAGAAAGGATCTCTTTTTCGCTCTTACAGCGCAGATATAAAACACAGATCTCTCGTGAAAATAAGCTCATCAAGAGTTCCAAGAGAATCTTGCTCGCACACATGCACATACGCGCTATTACGGCATTATAGCTTTCAGCTTTTCCGTTGTGATGATCCGATTTCGAGCGTACTCGTGACTTATCGTGACGAAAATTACACCGGCAAATTACAGAGAGGAACAAACGAAGGCGATTTTATTAGCGAGAAAATAAATGTGTTTTGATTGGCCTTATCATGCCAAGTGTATTTAAAGTGTGTATTAGAGAGACGCGTTTGTTTAAACACGCGCGCGCTCGCCTTTCAGTTCTTTCGCTCGCGGGTGGTACGATAAAGCTCAGATTAAGGCGAAAAAGCGTTTGACCGCATAAACGCGTGTGTAGTGTCGCGGCAATAATGAAAAAAAGAAGAAAAACAGACGCAAGAGAAAATAATACAGCGTACGATTCCAATAAAAAAGAAATGAGTTGGGTGGCTTATTCGAGCTCAAGCACACACTCACACACGAATGTATGCATAATACGATAAGTCTCGATTCTCGCTATAGAGCGCGTGACACCGCGCGCGGATAGCCTTTCGGCATCTATACAAACGCGTACAACACATACCTACGACACGTCTTTATCGGGTAAAGCTATTTGTCAGCAGCTCGCGCGATTCACCTGAAACGCGTGGAAAAATGCAGCCAAAGCTCTGTCGCTCGCTCGCTCTCTCTCTCTCTCCCCCTGTGCGCGTGTTTACGATTACGGAATGTTTATCCAATGCCGCGTGCTGCCGCGTTTATTATAGTCCGGGAGGCAATTTGCGTTCGGCGCGCGGCTCGCCGATCGATCGTTTTAATGCGCTCGACACCGATGTGTGTGTGTGTGTTTATATGCAATGACCGTATGTTATACGGGAACGCGCGCAAACCCATGTTCGTACGTCGAGCTTTCGTCAATTGAGTACTATTCCATTGAACGATCGAACTAGCGGAAAGTATCGACGAAGGATCCCTCGAAGCGGCTTATTGTTATTATTGTTTTCCACTCGCGACTTCGTTTAATGTACGCATATAGGCGCTTTATGCTCGTTTGGAAAGATCCCGCTTATACTCGACGCTAACTCGTTTTTTTTTCTTGTTCCATGCAGCCGACGGAGTGACGTACTCGTACGGTCTCTTCCAAAAGGAGTATGTCAAGCAGTTCGAGGCGTCGCAGCAGGCGGCCTCGTGGGTCGCCTCGCTCCTCGTCGGCGTCACCTACTGCTCGGGGCCGCTCTCGAGCTTCCTCGTGAACAAGTTCGGCTGCCCGGCCGTTACCGTGATGGGCACGATCCTCGCCTCGGGCTGCCTCTTCGCCACGGTGTACGCCAAGTCGCTGGTCGTGGTCTACCTGACGGCGGGCATCGGCACGGGTCTGGGCTTCGGCCTCATCTACCTGCCGGCCATAGTCTCGGTCTCGGTGTACTTCGAGAAGTACCGGGCGCTCGCCACGGGCATCGCCGTCTGCGGCTCGGGCCTCGGCACGGTCGTGTTCGCCCCGCTCATCAGCGCCCTGCTCGCGGCCTTCGAAAACTACCGCTCGGCCATGCTCGTGCTCTCGGGCATCATCCTCAACTGCATCATCTTCGGCCTGATGTTCAAGCCGCTGAAGCCGAGCAAGGTGGCCGAGTGCGTGCCGCTGCAGGAGTGCAAGGTCAACGGGCTGACGAGCCTGGCCCCGCCCACGCCCAACGCCGATCGCAAGCTCGATCGCAGCGCCAGCATGAACTCGCCGAGGAGCAAGCCCAAGCACCTGGCCAACGGCAACGCCGGAGTCCAGCCGGACTTGCAACAGCAGCAGCAGCTTCAGCAGCAGCATCAGCAGGACCAGCTGGAGCTGCACAGCAGCAACAACAACGTGCGGCTGGCCCTGAGCCAGCCGATCCTGGCCGATCGGCCGCCCAGCGCCGAGCCGTCGCCCTTCCAGCGCAGCAGCGTCTACGGCAGCGGCATCATGAATCGCTCGGACGTGTTTCTGCGCAGCAGCATAAACAGCATACGCAAGCGCTCGGGCTCGCTGTCGCGCAGCGAGGAGAACGTGAGACTGAGGGCGTCGCTGCGCAGCCTGCCCAACGGGGCCGGCGGCCACCGCGTCATACCCGACGTCATCGACGAGCTCGAGTCCGCCGAGTCCGAGCAGGAGTCCAACATCGCCAAGCGCATGCTCAAGTTCACCCTTTTGAGGGACCCCGTCTTCCTCATCTTCATGTTCTCGAACTTTTGCACGAGCATCGGCTACAACGTGCCCTACGTCTTCATCGAGAAGCTCGCCGAGCAGCACGGAATGATGAGCCAAGCGCCCATGCTCCTGCTCATCATCGGCGTCGCCAACACCTTCGGCCGCGTTGTGCTCGGCTACGTGTCCGACAACCCGAGGGTCAATCGTCTCCTCATCTACAACATCTGCTTGACCACCTGTGGTATCGGTAAGTCGAAAGCTCAACTTTTCTTTTTCGCTTTCTTTTTTAACCACGCAACTCACGTAATGCTCTCTCTCTCTCTCTCTCTTTTATCAATTTAGCCACGGCCATGAGCCCGTTCTGCGTAAACTTCTACCTGATGGCGATCTACGCGGCCATCTTCGGCTTCACGACCGGCGCCTACGTCGGCCTGACCTCCGTCTGCCTGGTGGATCTCGTTGGCCTCGACAAGCTCACCAACGCCTTTGGCCTGGTGCTGCTGTCGCAGGGCATAGCCTCGCTCGCGGGCCCGCCGATCGCCGGCTTCCTCATCGACCTGTACATCATCGCGGACATCGCCTTCTACGTGGCCGGCTTCATGGTCGCCATCAGCGGTTCCATGCTCTACGTCATACCGCCACTACAGAGGCGCGCCGAGGCCAAGCAAGCGCAACATAAGGTCGAGATCGACACCATCGTCTAGGGACGATTATTTACCAACGTTTAGTTGGACAAGGCGGACGTGTACGCATGACTCGCCACCTCCTGTGTTTCATGCAACAATTTTTTTTATTTTTTTTTTTATTTAATATGAAACGACTCACGGTATGATTACTCGACTTATATATTGTATTCTTAGGTTTTTTTACGGCTCTTGAGCATACGAAATGCGATCGGCGATTCGAAAACATCAATGTAATTGGTGATTTTTAGTCTTGCCGAATCGCGTAGTTAGTTTTTATCTGAACGAACGAATTGCAGCACTACTTTTTCACTTATATGTACCACGTATACTATAGGCTAAGTTGCTCGAGGATGTCAAATGTAGAATTAAGCGCGCTGCGAAATCGCAATTACCGAGATTGATCTATAAGTTGCCTTAAAAATTGAAAATTTCAAAGGTCAATGGAAACAATAAACTCAAAATGTCAGTGAACGTCGGTAAAGAGGCTGCTCTGTACGCGAGAAAAACGATTAAAAATCGTGTACTACTCTCGTTAATGATTAAGTTTTGTACGAATCGAAGGCGTGCGTGAGATTTTGACGCCCACCGCGTTCGGTCGGACGAGTACATTCATACGATGCGGTTGCAGTTTTTAACGCAAAAAACGAAATTAATAATCGTCAACTCGTATGAGTATAATTTTTAAGCGTCTCTTAATAAGTAACGAATGCAATATAACGCGTCAAATATAGCTCGTAAGTATGTATCACTTATACCAGCGAGATTCGTATCGTCCAGATCGATCTTTCGTTACAATGTATTGTAGCCTATACCCGTATCATCGTGACTTTTGATTATCTGTCGTATATACGTGCGTCATATACGTCGATCTCTTCGCCGATTATTATTATTAATTATTTTGTCAGAGAACTCATATTAGCCTGTAACGTCTGATTTTTTTTATTCCTACTTTACTAACGAATAAAACAAGTAATATCGTCACGTAGGGCATAAGTCACGTTATAAGCGCAAGCTTGCAATGATTTCTTTTCGTCGGTTTTTTATTAAACAATATACATAATGTAAAGGTGCCTTAACATAAGTATAAACTTTTATAAATCGATACTCTTATCCTTATGAATTTAAGTTTTTTTTTGTTTTTAAATGAATATAATGTATACATTAAATAAGTCTGTGATACGTAAACGTACAAGGCTTGGATCCACGATATTAATACCAATATGTTATTTAAAATCAAAGCGAGCGAATCGCAAAGGGCCGAGAAAAGTAACTATTTTTTCACGAAAACAGAGGAGAGAAAAAATCTAACAAAATGCCAACTATATTAGTAATTTGCGTACATGTACATAGAGTGGTACGGAAAATACGAAAAAATAGAAAAAAGAAAAAAAAGATAGAGAGACGAAGTTTTTTTACTACAGCTGTACAAGGGCCTGTGGTCGATTATAAAACACGTCAATAATTGCAACGACGACGATGCATAATTGTATAAGAATTTATAATATAGATATTTAGCGAAAAGACACAAATACGAGTGCTATGTAGAGGGTTTGAATAAACGTATAAGTTAATTTTTAACAAAAAATCTGAATAATGCGTTTATTTCATTTGTAAAATATGTATTCCCAACACTTGTTTTTCATTCCTCCGCCGAAAGTCGAAAGGGAGTTTTAGTGCAGTTTCAAGACGACAGAGGTCAGCAGCGCTCGGGTCGTCGTTCTCGGCGCGGTGGAGGCGCTCCGAACAAAACGTCACTCGAGAAAACGCGACTAGTGTGTGTGTGCGTGTGCTGCTGTTTCAGCGTCGGCCGCTACAACAATATACAACCAGTATATATGTACAGCTAGCGTTGGTTAAATAGGTTATGTCTCGTGACGCCTGTGCACACTGCAGCAGTAGAAACATCGGAACTAGCAGCAGCAGCAGCAGCTCCCAGCTGCACAGCACGAAGATCAGTCAGTTGTGTTTTATTGACGGTGAATGTGCTGTATATACACACGGACGACAAGACGACGACGACAACGTCAACGAGCTCACAGCTGCGGAGCTGTATGATAAATACGAGCCAGACGCGAGCCGAACTTTTACTTTTTTGGACGTGCAGCTCGTCAACGCGAATATTGGCTTGATTCGTGTGTACTTTTATAATAGAGAACCTTCTAATACGCTTTGTCAGTTTGCGTGCAAAGGAGTCGACGACGACGCGGCTTGGCAGCCGACATGCAAAGCGATGTCTGGCGATGACAGGACAACAACAACGACCACAACGATGAACGGTAAGTGCCGAAAAGCAAAAAACAAAAACAAAATAACAAAATAAAAGACATAAGAGCCATCGCCGACGAATTCGACGCAAGTGAGCGCGACAATTGACACTCGAGCTTTAATGGAAGCTCGGCGAGGCTCAATTGTTCGTAAGTTGCGGTTATTAGCCCTCTCTGCAGCTAGTCAGCGTCAGTTGAGCCCGCATATTGCAGTCGCGACTTTGACCCTTGGCCCTGAAAAGCTTTTAATAGCTTCCTCGCGGCTTCCGCGCTCTGCGTATGCTTTTTGCACACAATGCGTACGCGTCGACGTAGGTATATATACCTATAAAGAATTGCGGCCGCCGCGACTCACGCACGACCGTGAATTTTTATAGATTTCGAGTCAACGTCAGTATCGTCTCGGCTGCCAAACCGACTTCTCTCTCTCTCTTTGCGGTCGTGCGTGCGAAAATTAGCAGTATTTTCGGCGATAAGCGCACGAAACTGGAGGATGTATAAATATAAAAACGGAGCGTTCAAGATTAAGTCTCGCGGCAAGTCGCAAGTCACTTTTCTCCTTCTCCTTCGTTCTTTCCGTCGCAATTCGCTCTCGATATCGAGCTTAGACTCGTATCGAATATAACGTATCCTCGACTCGGCAAAAAAGCTCTGGCGGCGCTCGAAGTTTTGTCAAGCTCGCATATGGCGCACCGCTGCATTATCGTCGTGTGCTCGGTTCCTTCCGAGTAATAACAACGCATTATTATTTTCATTAAAGACTAAGTGCGCGAGTAATTGTCTTGAAGAAACCGTGACGGAGATAAGGCTGTTCGTGGCTTTAATTATGAGAACGTGTAAGCCAGCAGCAATGCATCGATATGCGCGATCACCTTGAAAGCAATCGAGCGCGTGCGAGCGACTGTATTATACGTACGTTTTTATGTGTGTACATTAATAATTTACACCGGTCGACTGTATATCGATGCGATCGACCGGGAGGCAAAAAAATAATTTTTTTTCTTTCGTGTAACTTTTGTAATTTTGTACGTGTATAGAGTCACGCTGCCCGAGCGCGATATAATATACACGAGGCTTTCACCTCTCGGTGTATTACACGTCGCATGCGAGGATTAGGTAATGCAATGCAGCTTAAGCAGCAGTACCAGAGAATTCGCGATAACAATTGCTGCGCGTTGAGTACGCGTGTATAAAAATCCACCGAGTTTACTGGGTACTTCGGTCGCGGTATATGTGCGAGAAGTAAAATCTCTTGGGCTGCCGCCACGTTCATCCGAATCTTGTGTATATGATGTAGAGTATACGCGCGTCGCGATCGATTATTCGGATAGGCCGAGCAGCAGCAGCAGCAGCCGTCGTGCTCCAGCGGCCTATTTAAACTATTGTCATCGTGATAACATGCAGCGACAACGACAAAAAAGTAAATGGAACACGAGCTCGGCGTGTTTGCTTGTTGTCTGTCGGCGTCTCTCTACGAAATAGTTTTGTTTGACGCGAGACACGTCTCGATGCTCGAGTAGTCGGTACATTGTAACACACATATTACACGAATCCGGAATTTTTTGTTTTCGTCATCACAGTTGCTTACACATGTGCCGCAGACACACACCTGTCGTCGCTTGTACCGGCATTTCACGGTTTATCGGGCGCGCGTCGCCTTATCTCATGTTTAGTTACACATTATACAGCGGCGTACGAAATACTGCCACTTGAAGAAACCGCGGCCAGTTCGAAAAACTTTTGATCGAAGCTTTTACGTAAACTTAAGCTTGTGAATTGTGATGTACACAGACGTGTATGTATGTTCACATGTACAGCCCAGGCATGTATACTATAATAGCAAGAGAACGGCGCGATGTAGCGGAGCGTGAAGAAATAGCGGTTGATTCCATCAAGCGACCATGGCAATAGCTGACTATCTCTTTTCCTCTTTTTTCCCCATCCCATATATCTCGCTGTTTCTCTCGAGTTCGCCTGGTGTAATATACGTACGTACACGGCATATATGCAACGTCGATCTCGATTCTCATTGTGCATTATTGGCGCTGTGTATGCAGCGACGCGACCACTGCGTCGCATGGCCCGCACGAGCATCGTGCACGAGTATTCCGAATGTACTATACTCCTCACCGAGACTACTACATGAACCTGCTGCAGGTCCGCTGGCTTCGTGTCCGGCCGCTTACTTACACGCGCGCGTTCGATGCATATCGCGTGCCTCGAACACATAACTATTCTCGGAGCGCTCGCTACTCTCCGCCGCTGCTCAATTATATCGAATCGATCCTTTCTACATCATTATGCGCGCACTAGCCACACTGGCTACTGCCCCTCGCACGCGTACCTGTGATTCGACTATACAATATCTATGCGAGTGAAAGAGCCTTCGCGCTATGTATGTGCGGTCTTTTTTATATAAGCCATTGTCATGTATTGGAGTGTACTAAAAGCCTGTATATAATACGATACGCAAGCTCAAAGGGAGTTTTTTACAGCTCGAGCGAAGCCGCATCGAGAGCAGTGCTCGCTCGAGTCGTAATTTTGCCCGCTCAACTATTGTAACGCTGTAAAGCGGCCACTTGTCTCGCTTCGTGCTCGATAAACGTCGCGTTAAACGGATCAGTTCTTTTTTCAAGTCGACTAGAGCTCTCGCCAAGTTGCGCGATTGGCATCGCACGAACGCTTAATAATACGTTATACCTTGGAGCTTTAATGTGATTCGAAGGGAAATCTCGCGTGCTTTTAGGTAGGAACGAGTAAAGCAGCGAAAACCACGCAACGACGCACAACAGGACGAGAGCACGACATCTAGACGTCACCATGGCCGAGGAGTCGAGAGGTTCACGAAGAAACTCGCTGTCGGTCAACAGCGGCAACGCCAGACCGAACGGCTTCTATCAGAGCAGCGGCGGCAGCTATAGCGCCCGCACGACGCCGCTGCCGTCGCCCCTTCAGTCGCCTCTGTCGCCGTCGAGAATACCGCGACTGACGACGCTGCCGTCGCCTCTGGCCTCGCCGACCGCCCTGAGACGATCGTCCTCCCTTAGGGTCAAAGGCGAGCAAGCCCGCCAGCTGCAGCAGCAGCAACAACAACAGCATCAGTACTACTACAACGACCATTTCCCGGCTATCGTCGAGAACGACGGCACACCGAAGCGCAGCCAATCGGTAAGCACGAACTTTATCATATAGTCTCTGTGTACAAATACAACTTTATATGGTGTAGAGACGAACCCACGCGGGAGAAAATCGAGCGATCGATCGGCATCGTGCGCGCGTATAAACGATTTATGCAATTGGTAAATATCACCCCCCGCCGCCGCCACTCGCTCGCTCGAGTGCAATCATGTTATATGCATGTGTGCATTGTATCACGTGCTTTACACCTTGTCCCAGTTTCGCCTCGCGTACGTGTGGAGATTATAAGTTTCCGTGCGGTATTATTATACATATAGCTGTGCCGGGGGTGGCAGGCAGCAGCTAGACTACGGTCTCTCGTCGTCGTCGTCGACGGCGCGACACACATTGCGTCGGCGCACTGACCGCTGGCATCGGCAGAGGCATCAGCATTTAACAGCAGCAGCAGCAGCCGATGCGCCAGTGCACGACTCTCGCGTGGACGAAGTGGTAGTGGTGGTGTTGGTGCTGGTGGCAATGGTTCCGTGACGTGCAATGCTGCTCTTGTAATATGCATAATACAAAGATATAGTTAGAGTCGATGCAGTGCGCGCGACCCCGAGATGCTGTATAGTTAATGTACATTACATCCTGACGAGTTTAGTTGACTTTTTCCGTCCCCTCGAGTCCGTGTAACAAATACGCGTGTCCAGTGCGCCTCATGAATCGCGAGTCCGTCCAGCAAGAGGAAACCCAAGTACCTGAACCGCAGGCCGCTGTCGTCCGATTGCTCCGTCCTTATGTGCAGTCGACGTCCTGGCCATCTCGTCGGTCATGGACAAGGAGCAGCAGCAGCAGCAGCAACGTCCACATCGGAGTCCGCACAGCTGTCCATCGGTACCAGTCTGACACAGATACAATTTCCCACATATCCGAGCTCGTCGATATCGTCTCTCCCTCCTATACTTATATAAAAAAAAGATGATCGTCGAGCGCGACGATTATTTAGGTCACGCACCCTTTTCCAGCTCGCTTTTCCATGCTCGACGCTTATATCTGACGTAGCCGCGCGTCTATACAGTTTATCGTACATCAACTTCACGCCCAATCGACTTGATGTATTATATTTTTGTTGTATCATTTCAAAGTTGTAGGTAGCTAATGTTACACAGTCGCTCGGCGTGTCTATATACTATGTACGTGGCGCGCGCGGTACCGATTTTCTACCAAGCCACGTTCACCCCGTGCACTTATATGTGTACACATTACAGCGCGTTACGGGTACACAACAAAGCCCCCCGTGAAATCGATCGACGAGACCGCAAACGTCAATGGCCCCTGTACTATGTTGACGCTAGGTACACGATCTATAACGCGATATAGTCTGCTCGAAGAAAAGCAACCGCCAGTTCTATGCACCCACACGCGTCACGGAGCATTCAATCGTACCGAGTTGGGCTTGGTTTTCCGTTTTTGCGCGATATATCAACGTGTAATATACATATATGGATTCGAGCCAAGCTACGGGGCGATCTCTTTACGAGACCTGCAAGCCATGCGCGAGTCGAGAGCTTGCGAGACTCAATGGGCACGCGTACGTGCTTTTCTTTTTCGCTCGTCACGTGTATATATTTACTCTGTCGATTCATGGGGCACAAACATATTCAGTTTTTCTCCCTACTTTTTTTACGTATGACGCGCATATCATGTGTCGAGCCGCCGGTTTTAGAAAAAAGCCCGATCAAGCGGTAAAGCACGTTTTCGAGAGCTTGATACTCGTTGACCTGCATTCGATAATATAATCACTTTCGCAGTCACTCGAGTCGAGTAAAATCAATAGCTCGTCGACCGAGAGCGTACACGTACTTTTTTAAAACGCCCCTTACAATAATTTCGTCTTGAATTTTGCGCAGAGTCTGTCGCTGACGCCACTGAGGAGCCGACACAGAGGCCACCATCCGCTTGGGCATCATCATCATAATCCCGGGCATCATCATCACGACGACTGCAGCGACGCCGACAGCGTGCGCAGCTTCGGCAGCGGCCTGAGCGTCGCATCGGCCTGCGAGCACGCCAACTTCGCCCTGAACGGCACCACGTGGTCGGGCCGCCAGCATCGCTACATCGTGCACTGCTCGACGAGCAATCTCAACGACGGCGACGAGTATCTCACGCCGACGCAGCGGGCCCAGCGGCAGGTGCGCAAATTCCAGGCCCTGCTCAAGGAGGCTCACAAGCGCGCCGACGAGCAGGAGCACGAGATCGCCCGACTCAGCCAGGAGCTCGTCGAGCTGCGCATCAAGAAGGTCTCGCCGGTCGAGGAGAAGCCCGAGGCAGAAATAGCCGAGGCGACCACGGCCACCGCCGGGGACACCGACGAGGATGACGACGACGAGGACGACGACGCGGTTTGCAGCGTGCGCGAGCGAATTCCCACGGAGAGCTCGCCGGTCAAGGCTGCAGCTCCCCCGGCGGTGGTGGAAGCAGTTGCAGCAGCACCGCCGACACCGGCCAGCGCCGGCAGCAGCAGCAACGCCAGCAGCCAGCCCTGCAGCCCACCGCCACCCTTGGTGATCGAGGAGATCGTCTGCGCGAGGAGGGGGCCCGCCTCGCTCTCGGACTCGGGCCACTTCGACCAGGACGAGGTGGAGCGACTGCGCCGCCAGCACTGCGACGAGATCAGCGAGGTGAAGCGCAGCTACAACGACAAGGTCGAGAATCTGCTGGGTCAGCTGCAGGTGCTGCAGACGCGGCTGCACGAGGAGCGGCCGGCCCTGGAGCTGGCCGAGAGCCGCAGCCGCAAGCTCGAGGAGGAGCTCGAGCGCAGCAAGCGCCAGCTCGAGGAGCACAAGGCCCTGCTGCAGGAGCAGGAGGAGCGCAACAAGCACCTCTACCTCATGATGTACTCCAAGGGCCGAGAGGCGGCCCGTTTCGAGGCCTCGGACGGGGCCTCGACGAGCGGCAGTGGCTCGTCGACCAAGGCCCCGGGCAGCCCCAGCAAGATCACGGTCGCGGAGCTGCTGCAGAAGCTCACCGTCACGCAGGCCGAGCTCGACAACGTCAAGGTCAGTTCAACGACTAACCATTCGATTTCACTTTCTGTTTCATGAGTATATCTATATATATAAATCCATACTCACGCCACATTTGATCTCGCTGGCTTTTATATGTAAACAATAATATATGAAATACAAATAGAAAGAAAAAGTCTTTCTGCGATGATAATGTTTATTTTTAATATTACTTGTTTGCCACGCTGTAACGCTAAATTCATCACTAATAGACATTGCGTACTTCATAATTACTAATAACACTAATCGGAGTTACAATATGTAATGGCGACTTTCTAATAGCTGCATTTCTCATGCTTACTTCCATAAATAATATATTGCGATACTTACACGAATCTCAGATTCGCTGCCAAATTGACTCTGACTCTTGATTCATTGATCGCGCATTAAAACAGAATTATCACGCAGAAAATCATGAAAAGAAAAAAATTATACTCTTTTGTCTATATAACAACATGTATTTATAAAAATTTATATTTGTCTGGCCGCTGCTCTTCCGTGCACACGTGTGTGTCGCAATCGCTCTCGTGTACTACGCACACACAAATGCACACAATTTTCGGCGTTAAAACCAAAATAAAACAAAACAAAAAATTCATCCCGACGCAGGATTCGAACAAATCGCCCAATCTGCTATCTTTGGCCATTAAAAGCCAAAGTTTGTTGAGTACTCAGGAGGCTGTTTCTCTCTGGGTTGTTGGCACGCGTAAGGTAGTGTATTCTTACTCTGCTGATGCTGTTGTTAATAATAATAATAGTACTGCTCTGACCGCTTAAGCTATGATGTATATTGCCTGTATTATTTAACGCTCCATTGCACAGCCTGTTTTATTTGCATCGAGCACTTATAATATAATATTATAATTATTATATTTATCTACGTAGAGCTGAGCTGATTTGTTTGTTTACTTTCGTTTTGGGGGCATGTTAATTTACCCGCGAATGCGCTCACTTCAACTGCAGGTGTTACGCTTACTTTTATTTTCTAAAGCTTGTCGCTTCGTATTGAACAATTTCATATTGTACACAGAGTTAAGAAGAAACAGCCTCTTTACTTTTTCAATGTTGGTGAGCTTGCAAAAGCCACACTGACTAGCGGTATGATCCTATTATTTTCAATTAATTCACTAGTTTGCATGCGTATGTAGATGTATATTATAACTTAGCGGATTAGTCAATACCGATGACTCGAAATCACTGATGAATTTTTAACATGACTTTTACAGGCCATGTACAGACGCCTCATGGATTCAAGAAGCAGCGAAGGGACCCTCGACGCCGAAATAACTCTGCAATTTCTCAAGTCGGCCGTTTATTATTTCCTCACCGATCGGGAAAACGTTCAGGGTCATTTGAACGCCATCGAAAGCATACTCGGTTTCACCGACGCGGAAAAGCTCAATATCGACAAGATTCATCGTACGTCTAGAAAATAATTTGATTACAGAACTGCTGCTGATGATTTATTTGTGTTCATCGATTCGTCTGCGATTAATTGTTTATACTTTGTGTTGTGTGAGTGTGCGCTTTGTGAAGTTGTCATTATTATCTTAATACATAGACCAAAACACCTGATAGGGTTTGTCATTTGTACATTTTATTTAAAAGTTTCAATTAAGCTTAGGATTAATAATTTTTTGCTGTTATACTTTCTCACTCTGACTTTTGTATTATAAATTCATGGTATTCTTGAGTCATTAAAAATATTATTAAACGAACTTAGCTAGTTATCAAAACGCAATTGACTCTTATACCAGCACATGGATCATTTTATGATCTTTAGACATGTTGCAAGGTTTAACTTGCATAAGCTAAAATTTTTCAAAGCAAGCAAGGTACTAGAATCTGTACAATCACAGTTTCATGTTATTGTGACATGAATATCATTGGTAACTGATCAGAGTTATCAAATAGGTTGACTGAATCCAATAGCGTTATTTATAATTGTCTTTGGACTAAAGATACGTAAGTTGTTGGTGATAAGTTAATTTATTCCTCTTTATTGTGAAATTTAAGTATTTAATGATCATCAATGTAATATAGTATTTATTTTTGTAATAAAAATAATTATTAATTTTAATTTTTGTGTAAAACGTGAGTTCCTGCTTTGATGATTTAAGATAAAAAATACCACTTAAGAAGTGGACCACAAGATTTACAAAGGTTAGTATCTATAAGTTTATTAAGGTTTTATAAACCTTAGTGTATTCTAACGAAAAAAATTGATTTCAATAATGCAGTAAAGATTGAAAAGAGAAAGTTAATTTAATTTTGTCTTTTGACGTAAATTTGTTTGAATTGTGAAAAAATGTTTGCCACTATAATTGATTGAAATCCATGTAAATATTTATGTTGAAGATTTCATCATTTTTTTGCAATAGGTATAAAGAATAAAGTCACAAATGAACAATTTTTTCTATTTTCTTATTTATTAACATGTAAAAACACTTACAAGCAATTTACTTCTTGCTTGCAAGAATGATACCGTCATATTTAGCCTGGAACCATTTCATCGCATCTTCTTTCGTCAGTTTGTGTTGGAAACCAACTTTTCCAGTCTTCCTCCTTCTGTGAGCAACATTGAATCCTGAAATCAATTTCAACAGTTATATTATGATCGAATATTAATTTTGCTTCAATGAAAACTAAAAGGTATTTAATGAGTATTGTTGCTTCCATTAAGTAACACACCTAGTAAGATAAGTAGGCATGGGTTGCAAATAAGAAGCTTTCACTCTAGCACGGGTTAATAGAAATAATAGATAAAGTTGACAGCAACAATATCTATTGATACCAAATAACGTGCAAAGTTTAATATAAAAGAGCATTATTATTACCTGGTCTGCCAAGTACTACGAAGAAGTCAAGACCGTAGATTCCAATGCTGGGATCGTATTTGATACCAAGATCGATGTGTTCTTGGATACCGAAACCAAAGTTTCCAGTTCCGGAGAAGTTTTTTCTTTGCAATTCGTATTCACGAACCTATAAAATAAATAAATCATGATGGTTAAACTAATTGTAATCAACAAGAATTATTAAAATGGTTGAAATATTAAATTGTTATTGTGAATTTGGTAGAACTTACATAATAAATATTTTGTTTAAATAAAGTAACTGACCTTCAATCCTTTCTCAAGAATTTCCTCAGCCTTTGCTCCTCGTACAGTGCAGTGTACAGAAATTTTTTCATTACGGCGAATACCGAACGAACGCACAGTGTAACGTGCCTTACTGAACACGGGTTGTTGTCCAGTAAGCTGTTCCAACACCTAATTAAATAAAAAATCACATCCATTCACTGTCACCTCTAGTAACTTCACTGTTAAATTTTTACAGATATGAGTTGCAAATATACCTTGGCAGCACGAGTGAGCCTATCACCGGACTCACCAACGCAAATGTTAAGACACAATTTGCGAATTTTGACCTCCCTCATGGGGTTCTTGGCCGGGTCTTTCTTAAGCTTGGGTTGCTTCTTTACGTCCTATTATAACAAACATTTTAGTAAATAACAACTAATTTTACACAGAAAATTATCAACTGCATTTAGGTTAGAATACACGCTGAACCGCGGCAGCATGGTACACCTTTTCGCATGCAATTTCTTTCAGAAAGTTGATTGATATAAAAAAATGAGGTTCATGTTATCGAAAAAATCTGTATTTTTTAAGCCCAAAACAATATTTATGAAAACTACTCTTTGATTAAATAAATAAGTTTGGATAATTTAATAAAAATTCCAGATATTACACGTACCGCCATGTCTGAATCTCGTAGAAAAAAGAACTTCTCCGTGCGAACGTGAGCACTCGCGGTTTGCGCAGCTTACGTGTTGTTTCACCAAGTTGCTACCACACGCAGCGCTCTAGTCGCCTGGCGGGAGTGCTCAAAAATGTATGATGCGCGAATTCAAAATTCATACTTGTAAGGTATGAAAATAATGGAACTGTCGAAAAAGTGACCCAATAAAAATTTTTTTACTTAAATTTTTAATTTTTCAAATTTTTATTATGAGTAAATTGTATTTAATTTTCAGAATGTAAGTAATAAAAGCTTCTAAACATACTAAATTTTTATCGTTACATTCAAAATTGCTTGATTGTGATCTTAGACACCAGGTCGCAAATTCTACGCGTACAGACATTTATTGAAAATTCAATTTAGTTTACAAACATGTGAAAAAATTTTCTTGCGAGGTCTGATTCAAAAACTCGTTTTCGAGCCCATCACGAAGCTTTCTAATTTCTAATTTGAAGAAAATGAAAATTCATTTGTATTTTTTTACAAATTAAAAATTATTTTTTTTAATTTTTCGTTCAAAAGATTCCTATTCCAGTTAGATAATTTTAAAATTGTTTTTTCATATTTCAATTATTATTGAAATATTTTTTTATGAGTATTTCTAAACTTCCCAATTTCTTAGCTCTTAAACAAAATAAGCACTAGTTTTTTTGCAAAAATGCAATCAAATTTTTAATAAATTTTTCTGAAGCCCTGGAACATACTTAAAATCGGAAAAATTGAAGGTTTTTTTAACTATTGAAAGATATTTCTTTGAATATCTTCAGATATTTTATGTAAAAAGAGGACTTTAGGAAGATGATTAATTATAAATATTCAGTCGTAGAAGTAAAACAATTATTTTATTGAAATCGTTTTTTATTCCCGTAGCCATCGCAATCGACGTCGCAGCTTTACGCGTTCATGAAATGATCCACAATTTCCATGAAAAAATACGGTGAGAGTTATCCCTCAGAAAACTACTCTTCTCGATAAGCTTCGACGACGCATTGACGCTGTTTTCCTTACTGTTTTACTTAGAAACCTCGTCATGAATCTCTGTCTCCAGTTCTGGACGATATCCGACTCTTCAGCGACGCGTATTTTTTTATTAAAGCTTGGCGTGTGGGGCAAACCGTGACGCATGATGAAGACCCGATAGGTTGACAGAAAGCAGGGCTCTGCCTGATATGTAGATCCGACTACTGTGGCTCGCCACCAAGGATAAGTTAATGTACTATCCGGAAATGCAGCCGATGTTGGCGTAATTGAGCTGTCATCGTAAGCACGGGCCGTTGTCTTAGGAATGTTTTTACGCCCAATCTGGATATAATGTATCGGATATTGTGTATTACATAGAAAAAGGACTTCATAAATCGATGACTCATGCATTCACACGATCGTATGTAGATTATAATACATCGTAATTTTGTACAAGCGTAATGGGAAAACTGTGCGAATCATCCGAAAATTATGTTGTACTCGGAGAGAACTATATGATCGGTATAAGGCTCGACTAGCTATATGACTCGTTACAAGGCGAATTTACTTATAAATTATAAAACTAAATTTAAAGAATGAAAATCCAACTTTGAGCCTCTATAGATTCATGAGAAATGGACCTAAGCAGCTGAAATTTTGATAATTGCCATTACACAAAGTACTATTTAAGAGTACAAAGTTTGAATTTAATTTTTTGAATTTTGAACTCTTTTACGATATAGCCTACATATACTGAAAACCCATAAGAGTAAAAGTAGCTTCAGAAATATGACACACGCTCAGTTTATAATTTTCAAAAGTTTTTCGAGCACAGATTACACTTTGTCTGCTACGACGATTTTCCTAAAAGTGTAAAAATTTTTGCTCGAAATAACTTTGAAAAGCTTATAAGCTACGCGAGTACCACTATTCTGATGCAACTAATATACTTTGGAATTTTTTGTTGGGCAAAAACTATCCTCAAAATGTTGATAATTTCTATCAAGGATATACTTATTAATTTTTAAATATTATTTATGTACCTGATTTCTGCAATTAATGTAAGACGGGTTCTACCCGAATAAAAAGCGACACGAAAAATCAAGTTTCGTTTCGTTGCATCAATTTAAAATCTTTTGCCGTTTGGCCAAAATTTTCCGAGCTAGCTGCTGTAACCTACTCAGCCTATAATATATCCGAATGAGCCTCTATTAACTTTGCCTTCAATCAGTCGACCGCTTGAGTCGCTATTGACGGTACATACACGGAAGTGTACACAAAGGTAAGCGTAACGTCCCGCGATCATAATAATCCACAGACGAATTAATCAGTTCGATATTCTACAATTTTTTTGTCCGACAGACAATGGTCCACCCATTAAAAATCATGGGCTATGTGCTGGTGGAAATCATCATCTTCTTCTGGGACAACCAAATTTTCTACTTAAGCTACAGCTATCCGGGCCAGAATCTGATCTTCGACCGACACTCGTACGTGAACAAGACTCATGTGTTCGTCGTCTGCGAGGAGCCGGGCCAGCAGCGGCAGCAGCAGAGTGGATCGATCGAGACCAGATGCGAAGTGAACCACGTCGATATTAATCAGACGTATAAGTGTCCGATTACGTTGACTACGCATGATCTAAACGCCAGCATCAGGCACGATTCGATGAAGGTTTTGCCCTTGGGTGTGGACAAAGCCATTTTGAGCTGGGTTGATCCGAGTTTGCCACCGTCGACCGAAAATAGGTGGCAACTGAACGTCGTGCACTTCCAAGACTGCTCGATACACAAGGCCGAACAATCACAGCTGAAGAATCTGCAGCCCGTGAGCTTCGTCGTCTACGATGACTGGTTCGTCGCCATAGTCAATAGCGATCAGCGGTACAGCGCGTGCTATCGCTCGGAGGCCTCGACCCATGACGTGCCCAGGTGCCGGGTCGGCTTCGACGATCGTTTAAATGCCAGTTCCGGGCCCACCTTCTGGTTCAAACAGGACATCCGCGACGACGCGATGATGGTGGCCCCGTTGGAGCACAATAATCCGTCGGGCGAGCACCTGCTCATCGACACCCAACACTACGAGCTACATTTCGAAACGAACGCTCGCGTCTCGATTATCCAACGGAACGGCACGATCACCGAGCTGCGCAACTACATGATTCGCGACGCCAACTCGACGGACGTCGATCCCTACGAGCGCATCGCCTACTCGACGCACAACGGCTACATAGGCGTCTGCGCCAAGACCACTGAAACGGAGGCGAACCTGAGCTGCAGCCAGTGGGATCGACGAGGTCAGCTGATCTTCGAAACCAAATTGGTGTTGGAAGTCAATTACTTCCACGAGTTCGCTCTGATAAATCTACCCAGGGGCAAAGGCTTCTTCCTGCTCACGACCTATTGCTACGAAACTTTGTGTAAAACAGCCAGTAATCAGTTTTACGTGACGTGGATAAACAGGTACGGCAATTTAGGATCGGACAAAAACTACGAGATGAACAAGTTCGAGTGCGACCGGAGCATCAATAGGGCCGACGCGCAAATGTTTCAACTGGGCTACCATTACTGTTTCACCCGCGTCTGCTACGAGGACTTTTTTGTGAACGAGTACAAGGACCCGCGGCAAATTAGGACTAGAGAGTTCAAGCTGGACACCACCTGCTTCGACGGCGACTGGCTTCAAAAGGTACCTCCGACGCACTGGAAACAAATTACAAGTTGGATCGAACACACTTATAACCTGTTTTATGAAAAGTTTTTTTACACTTTTACGATAAATTATGGACACGCATTTAACATGACTTCAATTAAGATAAATAAATAACTTTTGATAATTGAAACGATCTGCCTCTCTTACTCATATAATGAATTAATAAATAGTATACAATACAAACAACTATGAAACCACAAATTAAAGCATTAAATTTCTGGACTACTCCGAACGATACTATGAGTATTAATAAAGTGGAATTTGCCACCCCGGACACTATGCTAATATTACGTGAGACAAGAACAAAAATTGTCTTCATCGTGTCAATGATAAAAAAATTATCGTTACAACATGGACCATAAATTCCGAAAATATTAATTCATTAATTTTTGAAGAAAATCAACATTATAAATGTAGATATTTCCTAAAAACTAAGTTAACCCTTGCAAAAAGAACAAAAAAAAGAAAAGTGTATTCGATTTTCAGAATGTAACTAAAAAGAACTCCCAAAAATACTAATTTTTCGTCTTTATAGGAAGTTGTCTTTACTGGGACACTTATTGTTAAACACTTAAAACACGATGTTTTGTTGAAATTACTTATTTTTAAGCCCATCGCAGAGCTTCTTCATAGAAAAAATAATTTTTCTTCGTCAAATAATAATACTTTAATTTAAAAAGTGGGTAGATTCAGATATTCCCTATCTAACATAAAAAAAAATTTTCTCGAAGTAAACGCTTCAAAGCTTTTAGCGACTATTGAGTGCGATGTACTCGCTTGCACTTCTGATTTTTGACTAACTTGAAATTGGAATTTCTGTACCAAATTTTATGAGCTGATTCGTGTGAGTGCAATTCAAAAGTGTAATAAATTTATATGTTTCTTCCGGCAATAATCTTATAGAAAATTTAAATGTGAATCCCAATTCTGAAAATACCTAAAAAGTAGTATTTCTTTATCAAATAATCAAAATATAGTATAATTTTTATTTCTATGGTGAACTAACTCAGATCTTTCAAACATTAAATCCTCCTTCTTCCTCTTTTTCTTTTCTTTATTAAAAAAAAAAAAATCATGTTAAGTCGTTTTATTCGTCATCTTATTAGTCAATGAGTAACTGAGCCTCGCTTCATGATTGGTCGGAATCTCGCGTTTGAAACATCTAGTTTAATAAATATAACTGTAAGCTTTTTTTATCGATGATGCACAAAAATTGACGTGACTAAAATGAGTGATACAGCAGATTTCAATTTTTTGGATGACTCTTATAAATATCAGGCCCTGAATATAAGTGGTTCTAAATTTTTGATAGGGGTCTGCAAAAGAAATGGATCTAGGAACATTATTTTAACTAATTTGAAAGATTTCTATGAAGAAAACATATTCAAAGAGACAATTGTCAGCAGATGTCAGGTACTTAATCCTTTCTTACATTTAACTCAGCTTCTTCCTTGAACTCTCTTTCTAATTGGCATAAAATTTTTTCAGGATCTAAATCCAGCATTTGAAGAACACGACGTTGAAGAAATAGTAGATAGTTTATTACTCGATATTCCAAAGTATGCTACTACTTGTTCTCTTGATCGAATAGAATTAGAGAGTAAAATTTATGATGCTCGCTTTTGGTTTCACATTAATTTAAAACAATGCAATCCTCAAAAGTTTAATGAATCATTATTAGAAATTTTTTTCACATCTTTTTATGAGCTTTATTATCGCTACAATCAGCTAATAAACATAGTAAATCAGAAAGATAGAGAAATAGAGGAATATAAAGCTGAGGGAATTAAGTTATTAAGAAGTATGATTTGAGTCAAAAATAATTAGTTTCATGAACAATTGATGCTACATAATTTGAACTTAATTTTTATTTCAATTGCAGATAGCATGATAACCGAGAAGTTTTCAAAGGAAGTATTTGAAACCAAATTGAAAAATGATGAACCTTTGGATAAAATAAATGTATTTCTAGGGGTTATGAATTATAATAAAACTGCAAAACAGATTGCAAAATTGGAAGTACAAGATGTGGAAAAAAAAGATATTGAACCAAAAGTAGCAACAAAAAACTGCTCAAAAAGAAAATCTAGCTGCGTTCTTAGATGTGCACCACCACCAACACAGTTATCCAGAGCATCTAACATACAAAATACCAAAAAAGCAAAATTTCAATCATGATATCAGTTAGTCAATACTTAAATGAAAAGTATTCATAACTATTTATTAATTTTTCCACATTTAATTTTAAAAATATGAACTCATTGTAATCTAGTAAAAATAAAACGCGATTAAACTAAGATATTCCAACAAAAAAAATATGAAATTTATCAACGTCCTGCGTGATTGAAAAGGAGTGAAAATCAATAGTCATCGAATTATTTTTTTTAATCATAGTTATTATTATCGTTAATATCCATATAATTATCAATAGCTACAGTAAAACACAAAACAAAAAGTGGTACCTGTACATTTTTCTTATGCGATTCGGCATAAACTTTTTTTATATATCATTAGCCTATAATAGGAAGAATCTAAATTTTAATATTCACAGATATATTACAAGATAGATGAGCCCAACGGACACGTACACTGCCTTTCGTTTTATTTTTCAATCATTTCCGGCCGTCGATTGTGTGTTTATCGACAATTGTTTATTTTATCGTTAATTTTTTTTATTTATATTATCCATTATTCTTTTTTATTTATGATTAATTATTAACATTAATTTTATTATATAATGTACGAAGATTCCGACCGACACGTTTTTGACGACTTTCATTTCTATGTACGATAGAAGGAGAGAGAGAGGAGATGAGTCCCTTGTCAAGGGTCTGATGTGAGCCGATACAATTGTAATATGTACACATAAGCGTAAGTAATAGATGAAAAATAATGCGTGAGATGAAAAAATGTTCGATAGTTAGGCTTCAATGGAATATAAAATAAGCAATATATCTGCATTTTCGCGTGGCGACAGAATGAAAATTAAAAACTGATAAACAAAATTTTCATGAATTATTTGAGAAAAATTGTTATACGTCTCGCGCAGTGCAAATGTCACGTTACGGGCTCGCTATATAATATGTATATTTTGCATAAATCGCAAGAGTATCGTAATTTATTATATGTATATCATTTTTTCCTCTCCCTCCCTTCGCTACCATACGTGCACTCTCTCACTCGAATGCGTTGTACATTCATTCATACGCAGCAGGCATACTTAATTCGTTCTCACTCTCGATAAATTGTCATATTTCACGTCGTTTTCTTTTTTGTAAACCATACATTACGATTGCTACAATGTACACTTTTTTTTAAAACTTTTATACTGTACAATAGTACATGCATACACACACATTATTAACGCGCGCACTCTTTCTTTTTCTCGCTATCTGTGTTTTTAGCTTGCGATTATCGACAAGGTACATTGTCATTACGCTCATATACTTTTAGATCGTTCATTCACACTCATCGCAGCTAAAACTTAAAGGCTACATTATATCGTTTTTTCCTTCCAGAATTCCTCCCTCGTAAATTTTTTAGGGATGGACTTTTGTATACACAAGGACAGGAGTTAGAGAATCACGTACGCGCGTTAAACATTTTTTGTTTGAAAATTATATGAGCCTCGCAAAATATTGAGTACTCCACAGATGTGCGTGTTACATTATTCTTTTAGGGAAAATTCGATAATCTCCATTCAGTCGAATCACAGCCCAATAACGTTTAAAGAAATGAATATAATCACGCGAAAGTATAAAACAAAAAAAAAGAACGCATAAACAGAAGGATAAGGTTGATAGACTTTTGGTGCGTACAAAAAAGGGTCAAGGAATATATAAAGACACGTTAACAGGGGCAAACAATGAGCTTCGAGAAGAATACATACATTGCAACGATTTGTCCATCCCTTAACGCTGTACATTAATTTAATAATTATTAAATGTCTCGTGTTTTTCGCTTCTTAAAATCTATTACAAAAAAATGTACAGCTGCTGTGTGTCTCGAACTTCAAAAATTGTATTCAAGTCATCTCCTGGGAGCGGAGAGCTAACACTTCAGTATAATAAATTTTTTAAACTATTTCAACTATTCGTCGATTTTACATTTAACGCATTGTGATGATTATGATATCATTTGCGCATTATAAAGCTGTAATCTACCGAGATCCTAACGATGAGATGACGATGTTTGTTCAATTTAATTCTTTTTTTTCGTATTCGCAGATACACATTTCCACACATACTCACACAAACGCTCGGATAAACAGGTTTGATGCTTTAGAATTATATATTTATAGGTATAATCATTTTTTTCCATTTTTCGCACTCTCGTGTATACAACTTACATATGATTAACACGATGGGATGGAAGCGTATTTTTTTTCAACGTTTGAGTTAAGAGTGACGTAGTAGAGCAGGAAAGGAGGGCCGTGAAAAATCAATGGTCAATGAGATCGATCATGCAGCTTGAGATGTGCACGACATATTGGTTTGATTGACCCAAAAATGTTATGTATGTACGTGTAGAGAGATGTGTGAGCTTGAGTGTGCAGTTTTGTCGCGTGTAATACGTGCATTTAATCGGTATATTTCTAACTAGTACGTGTACTTTTATTTTTCGACATTGACGTGTTTTTCAGTATTATTTTTTTAAATTCTTACTTTTGTTTTTCCTCAATTGTTTCTATACGATTTTTTTTCTTTATAATAATTAAATCGATAACAGCGGTAATAGTTTTTTTCATAGTACTGGTTCAATAGTCATAGCGGTAGTAGAGTAAAGTGAGTAGTAGTGGGAGATGATAGATAGTCTGACAGATAGAGGGATAGCATAGAACCATTATCAATAAATTCAATTAATTTTTTAGCAAATACATATCATCAATAAACTTTAATTGTAACTACAGTAATAATAAACGTTAAGAATAAAGATGAAATAATTATAATCATCAGCAGCTTACGTCTAAACATAATCATGAAGAAGGTAAACTAATTCTAATAAGATTACAATAATAAAAATAAAGAATGATTACAAGAGTAATTATGCATCGTATATAAATTTCTTACGTCGTAAATATACATAAGGGTATGCGTATTTATGCGGTAATTCATATACCGATCTATATATTACATCTTCATAATAGGGAATTTTTATGATACATTCGAGGGATTAATAATGCTACTTCGATAGTATTTTTATACTTTAACTGTTCATATTCATCTTTCTCATTCGAAAAGACTTAAACGCATGTACGTTATTTCTTAATTTTTAATATTTAAACTTAGTTTAAATTTATCTTTCGCGTATAATTATCGTCCGATAGTGTGTATGTATAATATATATGATACATATACATGTATATATGTTCTTTATATATACATTTATATATATGTCTTTTTTACGTCTAAACTCGGATTGCATCGGCATCGCCATTGACGATAGCGCGGCAGCAGCAATAACTAACCTTTTACAAGAAATATAATACATAGGTATTTATATAGAGCAATATTATACAGTAAGACATCACATAACGCGTACGTTTGAATCGCTTATACTAAAACAATCGCGATTTCTTTCATGAATTTTCTGTGTTTTTTATGCTGATAGATATACATTTATCGTTAAATAATTAAAATCACAGTAGTTATGCCTTCGCAGGCTCTTAAATTTATATTAAAGTTTCTTTTTTTCATTTTTATAACGCCTATTTCTTCAATTCAGTTCAATTAGAGACGGGAAAAGTTCGTAATTTTATTACAAGTTTCGTCGATCGCATAAAGGTTCATCGACAGATTTTTTCATAGAGTTCACTTCATTATAAAGTATGTTTTGAGCGCTTCAGTTCAATAATTAGCGCTTGTGGTGTTGAACGTTGAACGTTAAGTTGGGATTTTTTCTCATATTCACTAGTTTATAGACACACAATTAATCGAGTATCAATAAGTCGTATACATGTTGGACGAGCGGAGTTTATCGATGATGAAGAGCTACGCTTGACCCGTTTGTCGGAGGGACCAAGAGAGTCCAAGTCGGTCACTCCTACAAGCGCTGTCAGTTGATGTCATATCAGCCGTTCAAGACCGAGAGCGGAGGAGCACGCGAAATTAGACGTCCTGGCACCTCGCTAACTCCTTCACTTACATCGTATCACCGTTGCGCGCTGCCTTTAACTCCGCCGACCGGTTGCATCAAAGAGAGTTATTAGAATTCAGATTGATATTTTGATTGTCAGACAAGTTGCTCGGAATCGGATTGATATCTTCACACCGCAGCAATGACGATAATCATGTGAGCAATGTCCGAAACCCTGCGCAGTAATTCAGGTGCAATTCTTGATAGACTCTCAGTGGTAAAGTCACAAGATGGAAAGATGTGCACTACAAAAGCAGGCTGTAAAATAAAAACAATGTGTTAGATGCGGCTGATTGAATTTAAGCAAAGAAAAGTTCATAAAAATGCTTACCGTTTGAGAGCCGGGTGCAGCAATGTTGACGATTCCTGCAGCCTGTTTTTGTTGAAGATAGGTAATAAAACCAGTTTGTACATTCTTACTTTGTTGTAGTACGTCCAGGTGATCTCTACCGCATGGCAGAGCTAGCATGACACAGTGCTCATTGTCGATCTAAAAGTTAAAACATTTATTATGAATAAATGATACTTATGATTGAAGCTCAAATATATTATAAAAAAATTTTAAAAATACTAACCTCCATTTTTCTAGCTACACCTTCTACTTGATTGGGTTCCAAACGCATTCGTTGAACTATTCTTAGAGGAGATGTTGATCCATCAGCATTGCAAGGTAAACTTTCTCGAGCGATGTTTGGATTGCCATAAACAAAATGCATCTGAACTGCTGCTTGGTCGTTTTTGAGAGTTAACAAACCTTGCCACATGACAGGGTAATGCTGTAGCAACATCAATAAAGAATCTCCGGTTGGACTTGGCTGACTGGGCAAACCAATCGGTGGCGGTGGAGTGCCGATGTTAGCCAATTTGAGATGCTGATCGGGTGTCATTACGCGTTCAAGAGGAGTCTCATTTTGTGCCAATGGTGGATAAGGCGGGCGTAAATGAGCTGGTGGTGGTGGCTCGTAATAAGCCCTTTGCATTGCTTGGAGTGTTGTCGCAAACGGACTAGTAGGCGGCGGCGCGAGCCGGCTCGGCCCGTGAGGCATCATGTAGACTTGAGCTATCTGAGGACTGTCTGTCATGCGTTCTTGAGGCGTTCGAGTGCTTCGGCGCAGCTCAAGAGGTGGACTTTGAGAATCCTCAATAAGACGTTGGCCCGCTTCCAGGGCTTTCGGATCAAGCGGTAGATGAGGCGATCGACTACCAGACGGAGCTACGTGGAATGATGGATGAGCTCGCAGGTATTGATACTGTAAAATTTGTGGATGCATATAATGGGCTGCCAGTTCATTTGCCCGCGCCAGTCCACTATAACCGCTGATAACGTCGGCCTGAGTAAATATTAATAGTGGTTAGAAAATGAATTAATTGAATAAAAAAAGGATTATTATTATTGAAAAATAGTGAAACCAATTAATAATTACGAGTGCAAAGGTCAAATTACCTGAGGAGCATTCACGTGATGATGAGCCGGTGGCGGGATCATGGGGCTCTGAGGTCGGTGTGGACCACCTAGTCCGAACTGACCTCCTGGCGATAAGCCTGCACCAACGCTTCCATGCTATTCATTGAATCAATTAAATTAATAAATTCTCATATCACAAGTAAATTTTGATTTTCATATAAATATATTACAAAAAGTTTATATTGTACGAAGGGGAAATTTTTTCCAAAACCATTTTTCATAGTCAATCATATTTATGAACATTTTTTTATGAATATAATTTTTATCGTCTCGACTAAAAAGTAGATGAATAAGATATTTTAAAAAATCAATGTTTTGATCAGGGTAATAAACTTAAAAACCGAAAAATTATCATTTTCAAGATTCTTACCAATGACTCGTATGGATTAATCGGAACAACTCGGTTTTGAACGCTTGGTGAAGGGACCATGATGCAGCCTGATAAAGAGACTTCAACTTTTGGTGCCTCGTGAGATCCAGCAGACTATAAAAATATATGATTAAAATCTTTCGTTCATCAGTAACATTATCAAACTAAATTAACAAAGCGAATACGTACAGTCGATTGAAGAGGAGTAGTTCTGACGCCACATGAGACAGCAGAAACCATAGTTTGTGTTGGTATGTGGTGTGTGGGTGGCGGTGCTGTACTAACAGCTACGGCTTGCAGCAGATGAGCTTTTGGAGTGATCGGATGGCCATTGATCGGTTTAAGAACTGGCGACTGTATCGGTGGTTGTACTCTCGACATATTAGCAAGAGCGGGCTGTTGCTGCTGTTGCTGCTGTTGCTGCTGTTGCTGCTGTTGCTGTTGCTGTTGTTGTTGCTGTTTAACAGCTTGCAGAAGATGCTGCTTCGGATTGGGTGGACCATTGGTCATATTAAGAACTGGTGACATAGGCTTGCCATTAGATGGATGATCAATACTAGGCGAAGCGACTCTACCAATGATGCTCTTAACCGACGGATGCACCGGTGGAACAGAAGCAACTACAGGAGCAGGAACAGCAGGAGCAGTTGCACTTGCAGCAGCGGCGGCAGCGGCCTGCTGACTCGCCAATTTACTGGCATTGAGCACGTGAGCTTTCAAGCTCGTAGGTTTGTTGCTAGTTATCTGAGGAGTTATAGATATGCTGGGCGAAGTAGTGGCTGCAGGTGTCGTTGACTGAGCGATCACAGACACAGATGTCTGCGGAATCTTCGGAGCTTCAAGCTCTGCAGTCGGTTTTGCCATGGCAGCTAATCGAGCATTGGCCGCCGATACCGGAATGTACTGTCCTTCTTTTGATTCCCTAACGGGTATGAGCTCACCGGTGACTGGATCGATCAAGCTAACTGGCTCATGAGGTGCACCCGATGCTTCAACCTTATTTGTAACGAGTTCTTCGTTCTTGGCTGGTGGTAATTGCTGCTCTTCTGAAGCAATGGGCGAATCGATCTTGGACTTGGACTCGTCATCAGTAACGTCAATGGCGCCTTTGACAGCAGCCACTTTCTTGCCGACTCTCGTGGACTTGCGTGTTTCCGGTACTGGAAGCTGCTGCGGCTGCTGATGTTGTGGCTGCTGAATTTGCGGCTGAACCAATACTTTTGCTGGCGGGGCCACGCTCTGTCGAGTGGTTCTACGAGTAGCAGCTACAACTGCGGCGTTTTTGTTGACTCCACCACGTACGACGTCTTCGATAACGTCATCGATAGTCGAACGATTGATATCTTTTTCGGCCAAACGACGAGATTTGCGTGGATTGCCAGATACTACACTGGAGACTGGACTAACAACAACCGGTGACGTAATTGGAGTAATGGACGCTGTCGTATCCACGGTCGTTGTGATAGGCGATGTGGCATTGTGGCTGCTGTTACTGCTGACGGTGCTGCAAACGACCGTGACAGCTGGTGGCGTTGGGATGCTGGTACTAGCAACCACGACCGGTGGCAGAGTTGGGCTGGGAGCAACGAACTCTTCCGTAGTTGTGGTTTCTTTAACAACTGCCACCGGACTCGGGCCAGGTGATTTTATAGTCAGTATCAGACGCGGACGTCCACCGTTATCTTCCTCGCTGTCATCGTGGAATTCGTAGACGTCAGCCGGCAGCTTATTCTTTTCAGCATTCAGCCTACTAGATTTTGCACCACGACCTGATCCTCTGCGACTTGGAGTTGCAGGCAAGGCATTGGCGACATTAACTTGCTGTTGTTGATGAGGTTGTTGTTGCGGCTGTGGCTGTGACTGCGGCTGCGGTTGTGGTTGTGGTTGCTGTTGCTGACGACCACCACGTCTTGTTGTAACTCCAGCTCCACGCGCTGGCACAGTTACTCCACGCCTGTTTTTAGAACGTCCACGACGACCACGTACGGATTCTCCGTCGAAACTAGCATCGACTCCTTCGTCATGATCGTCATCGTGCAAAGCGTTGTCACCACGCTTAGACTCGTCTTCGATCGATTCAGACTCATGCCAGGAATCTGCATCGCTCTTATTATTCTCGTGAGATTCGACGTCGTGATCGAGCTCTTCATCGTGTTCAATCTCGTTATGATCCGGGATGTCGTTAGCCTCGTTACTTTCCGAGTCACATAATGCATCCACCTTCTTTATCACGCTTTCAATGTTCACTTCTTTAGCTGACCAATAATCACTGTCCTCTTTACTATCTGTAGGTTCTTCTTTCACAGCAGTAGGTGGCTCATCGGTTTTCACAGTAGCAACCACTTCCATGAGTTCTGGTTCAGGCTTTTGTTTTACCTCTTGTTTCATTTCAGCAATATTTGGAGTTTGCTGTATTGGTTCTGGCTCTGATTTAATAGCATCGACTATAGGAGATTTAAGATCTTCTGATTTTATTGGTACATTATTGGAAATTTCATTAACTGGTGCCTTTAATGCTTCTATCTTCGCAATCTCGGGTTCACTCTTAATTAAATCAGTCTCAGCCTTCAGATGAGGCAGGCTCGTCTTAGGCGTCTGAATCATAGAGTGTCCAGTAAGAAGTGGATGCGCGACATACGATTGCCCATGAGCGACGATGACAGGACTCTGAACCGTTGTATGAGTCAGATGGGTATTTGTCAACATATTCAAACGCTCGATCTCCTGCTTTTGTCGAACATCCAGAATCGCTGTATTGTTGTTCTTTAAGTTGAAAGCAGTATCGACTTTGGCCGTTTCCGGAATGTATGTTGGTGGCTGATTGGGCGACGGCACCTTGGGCGACGTCGAAACCTTTCCGCCGGCTTCAGGAAGCTTAGGTTCATCGTCCATACGAGGCGCTGGGTCATTTGCACTCGCTGCAATCAAAGTTTCAATGACTGATTTAGCAGAAGATGGTTGCGAGCTCACAGGATTGTAGGGCTTCGTGGGAGCAACGCTCAGCGACAACGGTGGCAAGCCACCTCGTGGATAATTTGGCGCTGCAGCTCTCATGCCAGGAGCATGTTGAATTACCGGTTGCTGCTGCTGCTGTAAGTGGCTACTGGCCGTAGAGTAAATATTCTCTGGTCGATGAGAACTGCCTGACAGAGGTACACTCACTGGTATGCGCATACTAGCGCTTGTTGTTCGCGGCGGCCACTGAGTGCTGGGTGACGGGGGCTGAGATATTCGAGCCAATCCACTTACTGCATTGCCAACGGCTGCCAACGGATTCGTGGTCGCATGTGTTCGAGGTGTAGCATGTCGACTGGTCGGCACTTGGCTCTGCACTACTATAGGTAATCGTTGGTAAATCGGTACGACTTTGTTTGGTTCGCAGATGGCTTGTGGCATTGTAGCTTGAGAAGTCTGCTGTGGTGCGGGTAGACTCTTGGGCGCTTCCGGCTCCGACGCACAGGCGCTTGGTTCTGCGGCATCGGCGCGCGGTACCTTAGCTTGTTCTCGATCGGCCTTTGGCTCCGTCAAACTCCAAGAGTGCGCTGCAACAACTGGTCCTGGAGAAGATGCTAGAGATGGACTTTCCAAGCTCTTTTCAAGACCTGGTATGGGTGTTTTCAGAGGCGATTTATACACCGATGGACTTTCCACTGGCTCTGGTTCCATATCGTCTTCATTATCTGTGTCAATTTGAAGATCATTTTCACTTTGAGGTGTGTCGGGTTTCAGATCTATATCAGCGCTCAGACTGTCGACGGCCTTTTGCGTTTCATCGCTGTACGGGACTGGCTCTGGCTGCGAAGCCGCTACCGTAACTGCAGGAGGTGTTGAAGGTGTTGCTACAGCAGAAGCGGTTGTTGTCGTGGCAACTGCAGATGATTCTTCGGACATGACGTCTTCGAAGCCTTCGTAGTCTTCGTTCGATCCAAAAGTTTCCTCAAGCAAGGCGGCAACAGCATCAGCCGTTTCTTCCATCGAGATGATAGCTCGCGGTTTGTTATCGTCTGGTTGAGGCGCCGGCGCTGGTTCATCGGGTAGCTCTTGTTCATCTCGACTAGAGTTGAGACTTTCACGCTCGTCTGGCTCGGAAATGCTTTTAACGGCACTTTCGTGGATGCTTTCATCGACTTCTAAGCCAAAACCGGGAATGATAGTGTCAACTTTCTTTTTGTCGGACTTGGCGGATTCGATGTCAGCGATAGACTCGTTCGAGGCTGTCTTTTTAATGGGACTTGGCATACCCTCTTTAGGCGAAGCCAGACAAGTCGGTAATCTAGGCAAATTGGGCGACATCGGCTTAGTAGCCGCCATCGGACTACTGGCTCTTGGCGGACTTGTCTCGCTTGGACCAAGATAGGGCATACTGCTGCCAGCAGCGCTTGACTTTTCGCTCTGCGACTGGTGATGATGATGGTGATGGTGATGATGGTGATAGTCCTTGTTGTGCGAGCGCTCGTCCTTTGACTTCTTGCGCTTCTTCTTTTTCTCTTTGAGCTTGTCCGACTGAGCGGGCGTGGGTGTAGACGGCTCGTGGCTGTCATTATCGCAGTCGGTGAAGCGGAAGACGTCCTGCTCTGTACTAGATTTCGGAGAGCTACTGAGTTGTCCAAAGAGCTTTGCCTCGATTTCTCGACTCGTCTCGATCGGTTGTTCTTCGGGCCGAGACGGCGCGTGGCGTCTTTTCTTCTCTGATTTTCGTCGTATCCGCTCCTGGTCGACGCGTGGAGGGCTTTGTAAACCTTCGTCATCAGAGTGATAACCGGCTTGATGATTTTCGTGTGGTGAACTACTACTAGCCTTTGAATTGCTGAGTCGATTGAAGACGCTACTTTCAATCGATTCATCGACGTCGTCGGACAAAGGCCCAAAGATGTCCTCCATTCGTTGACTTTCCCGAGTATCTTGACGATTCAAACGCTTTTTACGAGCCTTCATTTTGCTCTCGGACAGCTCCCGATCGCGGTGTTTGTCTTTCTTGCTGCGCAGTTTCTTTTCTTTTTCTTTGGACGGACGCTGTTCCTCACTCTCACTGTGTGTCGAGGTGAGCATTGAGTTGTACAAATTTGGGAGCGAGTCGTTATTATCACCCGCACTGTCGATGTGATTGGAATGCGCATTCGAGTACTTATAATCGTGATTCTCGACGGGCTCACTTTTCACGACGCCTCCCTCTTCACTCGACGAAATCGAATTTTTCTGTCGCTTTTGCTTCTTCTTGTGAGATTTCTTACGCGAATCGCGATCGAGATTGTTTAGAGGCATCTGCCTACCGGCAAGTAACGAGTGATAAAGCTTTTCCTCATCCTCGGACGTTCTTACTTCTTCCTTGATTCTAACGTTATTTATAAGTAAGTTATTCTTGTTGTCACGAGGATGTTTCTCTTCGGTGTCGGCAAAGCCCAAGTCGACTTCATTCTCGTTGAAATGTTCACGTTTGATACTGTTGAGCTTGGCATTGAAGGATTCATCTTCGCTCGTATCGCTGTGTATTCGCGATCTCGAGCCTTTCCGCGACAAAGATTTAGTTCTCGTGGAATCGGATTCGGAAGTCACTTCATCTTCGGTGAGTGCTTTACTACTTACTGAGTCCCCATCCCACGATGTACTTTGTTTCTTTTCTTCTCGCCGAGCCCTGCTCTGCTTCAACTGCGAAAATTTGTCCTTCAACCGAACCTAAAGCAGAAATTAAAATTTTCATGTATTAAAATTAAATCTGAATCAATTAAATCGTAACATGAAAGAAAACTTGTCTTACCTGTCGTTTTTCCTCCTCAAGCTTCTGCATATTTTTCGTCGACCGAGCTTTGACCTTATCGTACATACTAATGTATGCAGGCTCGTCAACAATGACATCGAATATTGAGTGTTTCTTTGGTTCATCGCTGTCAGTGTCTGGCCTGCGAGGCGATTCATGCGTTGAAAGGCCCCCCTCGTCTGCATCGCTGTGCAACTCTTTGTAATGCATTTGATGAATGTGCAAATGTTGTTGATGTTGCTGAATCATTTGTTGCTGATGAATTTCTTTAACGTGATTATGCGGCACACTCGAGGAATGTTCGTTTGGTAGGGACGCCTCCATCTTCTTGGAATATTCCAGTCTTTTGATGAATTCTGGTTCATCCGTATTTCCGTAGAAGAACAGTTTCGATACGTCCAAAGTCTCGATTTCTCGTGGCCTATCGGACCGATTTTTCTTGCTACGTTGTTTTTCTTTGCTGAGGACGTCTCGATTGTTGTTTTCTTTTCCTTCTTTGCTCGACTCCCGTAGAAGCTCGGGATGCGAGTCTCGACTATCTTGAGGAGATATGGAGTCTTTGACGCCATCACGATTATCCCTGATATCGCGATTATCTCGGATCTCTCGACTGGATTTATGAGACTCACTGCGATGCTTCCTGTCCTCTGAGTGACGATTGGGCTTGGACTTGTCCTTGCTATCCCTACGATGTTCGGAGGAGAGCCTTGGGCGCTTGGATTCTTTGGGCTCGTCGTTGCTTGAGGAAATGTCGTGCGAACCTCGACGTTTGTTCGACACAGGCGCAGGATGCGTCGAGTTGACTTGGCAATTAGAAAGTTGCAAATGATTTTCCACGACGTTTCTTCTGCTGTCGTCACGCTCGCGTTTATCCTTTTCACGTTCCTTGTCTTTTTCGCTCTTGTCGCGGTCTTTTTCCTCACGATCTCGCCTTTTGTCGCGTTCGGCCTTTTCTTTGTCTCGCCTCTCGCTTTCCTCGCGATCTCGTCTCTTGTCTCGGTCGTGCTTATCTTTCTCAAGGCGCTCTTTGTCATCTCGGTCGCGCCTCTCCTTGTCTTCTCGCTCCTTCCGCCTTTCGCGCTCAAGACGCTCACGTTCATCTCGTTCGCGTTTTCTTTCGCGCTCGACGCGCTCCTTTTCTTCTCGACGTTTTTCGCGCTCCTCTTTGTCCCTGCGCTCTTGATCTTCGCGCTCTTTACGCAGTCGATCTTTTTCCAATTTTTCCTTGCGTTCGCGTTCTTCGCGATCTTTGCGATCGCGCTCCTCACGTTCGCGTCTTTCTCGTTCTTCTCTTTCCTTGCGTTCTTGTCGCTCTTTTTCGAGGCGTTCTTTCTCGTGTCTCTCTTTATCCAAACGTTCTTTTTCGAGACGCTCTTTCTCTCGTTTTTCTCGCTGGTGTTGTTCCTGTTCACGCTGCTCGCGTTGTTCACGCTCCTTACGTTCACGCTGGTGTTGTTCCTGTTCACGCTCCTTACGTTCACGCTGCTGCTGTTCCTGTTCAAGCCGCTCGCGTTGTTCACGCTCTTTACGTTCACGCTGAAGTTGTTCTTCGCGCTGCTGCTCGCGCTGTTCACGCTCCTTGCGTTCACGTTCTTCGCGCTCTTTCTCCAGCTTTTCGTGCCTTTCTCGCTGTTCCCGTTCGAGCTTTTCGCGCTGCTCCCTCTCGACTTTCTCTTGATGTTCTCTTTCGAGTCTGTCTCGTTCTTCACGTTCTTTTCTTTCTCTCTCTTCGCGTTCGACTTTTTCGCGTCTATCTGTACTGTGACTATCCTTACTACTATTTCTGTAGTCTTGTTTGTGATCCATAGCATCGACGTCAGGCGTACCAGGTATTGATCGCTCTTTACTGGCATCTTCTTCTTTACGCGAGCGTCGCGACGAAGGGAACGTAGAGAGAGGAGAGTTTGAGCAACTCGTCGACGAGTGTGGCGAATCTTTGGCGGACTTGCTGGAGTTGTGTTTGGAGGAGTCTCTGCTGTCTTTGTAGCTGTCGCGTCTATGCTTGACGCGGACCTGATGATCGTCGGTCGTTGTCGGCGAAGAGGCGGCACTGCTAATGGACGCGGGACTGGCTCCGAGGGCGTTGACGTTGATAGAACGGCTTGTAGAAGCGGCGAGCACGGCGGTAGCAGGCGGGAACGACACCGGCGGTAACTCGGGACTTGCTGTTTTGGGTGTGAGGCCGGTCGGCGTAACGGGCGCTGCCGGCGGCGGCGGATGACTAGGAAAGGGATACTGTAGGCCGAGCTTGCCACCTGCCTGGCTAACGGCCGCGGCAGCGCTGCTTTTGGCCACCAGGCTCGCGGCGACGGGCACGCCTGTAAACTCTTTTGGCTCGTACTTCTCATTGAGATTTTCCAAGCGCTTCGAGTCTTCGTCGAAAACACTCCGCTTCGATAGCACCGACTTGACGATGTCCGAAGGCTGCACTTCGTGTAGATTATCCAGATCGAAGAGCTTGTGTTTGAATCGGAAGCGCTCGGGTGCTTTGGAGTCGAGTTTGACGTTTGCGTCGCTGCTCTGAGCACTGATGGTACGAGAACCCGACCATTTTTCATACTTTTCGTCGAGAGATTTGATTCGTTCCTCAAGACTAGGCGAAGGCGGCATCATCTCACTGTCGGAGCTCATGGGGCTGGGACTCGAGCGTGCATCGATCGTCGGCGGTCCTAAGGTCGAGCCGCACTCCCTTAGCTCGGACCTCGTGGACGAGGGCAAGGTCGGAGGTAAAGGCGGCTGCTGTTGATTACTGCAGTTGCGAGGCGGCGAGGCTGGAGGTTGGACTGTAGCTCGTGGACTGGCGACTGGCGGCACCGATGCCTGACTTCGCTCAGAGTAGGGCGGAGAGCCGATTTTCGGGCCTCCGGCACGATTATTGGCCTGTAGCATCTGAGTGGCGAACCTCGGCAACGGAAGGGACAGGGGTCCGTCCTGACTTCGCTCTCGGAAACGACGTGGCTCCGTGGGGACGATGTTCTCCGGCCTCTCGTCGACAAGGGGCGTACCGGGCCTGGAGCCTACGGCAGCCTCGTGGTGGTGCTCGTGCGGCTCACCGATCAGCGGAGGCTCCATCTCGTCGAGGGAGTGATGCCTGCTGTGATGGGCCGCGTGATGATGAGCTCCGGATGGCTGTCCGAAGCGGCCGCTCTGCTGATCTCTGCGTCGTTTGCTGCCACTGCCACTGCCGCCGGGCACTTGGGGTCCCGAGCAGCTGGATCGTCGCGACGAGTGGTGCAGGGGTGCGACGTGCATTTTGCTGGACGAATCGCTGACCCGACGTACCTCGAGGCCTTTGCGGCCGGCGTGCGAAGTGACGAGCAGCGAGGCCATTTCTGGCTCGTCGTCGTCCGGTATGTGAAGCGGCTGATGCGGCACCGAGACGGACTCGTGGAGCTTGGGCCGCTTTCTGGCGGGCTGCAGCGGTCCGAGGCCGAGCTCGTCGCCGCTACTGCTGTGGCCGCACTCCTCGAGCTGTTCCAGCAGATGGACGCGCTCCTTCTGTAGATGGCGCAGGTCTGGCGGCGGGGGCAGCAGGGAGCCCGGATTGGCCGCGTGCTCGGGCAGCAGAGCGGCGTGGCGAGCGCGCGACGACGAAACGGACGACGAGCTGGACGGCAGCATCGGGCCGAGCATCTCGTCGTCGGGTCCGTTGGCCGTGGACGCGGGACCCGTCGGCTCGTAGTCGTCGTGGCCCACGGGCACGCCGCTGGGCCCGTACTCGTCGTAGGGCCTGAAGCGCACCCTCGAGTCCGCGTAGTCGGGCTCGTAGTAGGGGTCGGCCTGGTAGGCGCGACGCGCGCTGCGCGCCATGGCGGCCGGGTGGCCGGGACTGGCGGCCGCGGCACCTCCTCCGCCCGGCGCTCGACTGTAGCTCGACGTCCTGGCTCGGGGCGGTGTGTCATAGCGGCCGAAGCGACCGCTGGCGGTGCCCACCGTCACAGACGTCTCGAAGCCGCGCTCCCTCTCGCGCTCGCGCTCCCTTTCGCGCTCCCGCTCTCGTTCTCGGTCGCGCTCCCTTTCGCGCTCCCGTTCACGCTCCCTCTCTCTTCTGAAACACAAAACACATACATATTTTACATTAATAAATTAAATAATGGATTATAAACGAATAAAACTTCTATATCTGCTATTTTGCATGCCACGAAAGGGAAGGGGGTAATAAAGCTTCGAGGTGCGTTTTTTCTCATAAAAAAACTTGTACATCGTGCATCGACGACGTCATTATCCGTGCTCACGGAGTATGCTAATTAAATATCTCGATGCAATTCATCTTCGCTCGCGCGAACATTATCCTAGCTTACGAAACGCGCTGGCGGTCGCGCGTTACCGCAGAGGACAAAGTCCTACAGATAGAGATTGTCGTCAGTTCATCGAGAAATAATAATAATGATGACGAAGCACATACAGCGTCCGGTATATTATTAACACACGCATTAATCGATGTTGCGGTATTGATCGCGACCATAAAGGCGAATAAAAATCGACGCAAGGAAAAATGCTCGTAAATCCTTAATACTCTTCATCGCACGGCTGCTTTTTGCTTCTGTCCTTCCCTTTGATTAGTGCATTCGCGTGTAAGCATCGCAGTGCAATAACGCTACGTTATTCTGAATTATTGGCTCGGCCTCGTTCACGCACTTTGGGTGCCGCGTTCGTCGTTCGTCAAGACTGCACATCGCTACTCACGGCGCGCCGCGATTACGTAAGTATATATGCATAAGAAGAGATCTTACTCGTCGACGTCTTCGTCGTCGTCGTCGTCGTCGTCGTCAGCGGCGACGCGAGGCAAAAATCAAAGCTTCACAAGAGTCAGAGAGACAGAGCCTATTTACGAGCTTCTGTAATTATAGATTACGCCAAAATTGGACGTTGCGGGACGCGCGCAGTGTGCATACGCAAATGCATCCAGACGCGCTGCGAAGAAGAGGAGGCTTCTCGCTCGAGTGCGAGACGACTGTACGTACGACGTACTGGTGGTAGACGACTGTGAGCACGGCGCATACACAATTTTACACCAGCAGCAGCAGCAGCATACGCACATGCATGCGTGCTTGGAGCTCATAGCTCGAGCTAGAGAGCTCGTGTGGCATTGTTGAAACGGCGACTGCTAAATCAAATATCTCTGGCTCTCGACGATTGTGTAAGCAAATGTCATAGGTATCATATAAGCAGAGGTGTTTCGCAACGCGAGCTGCGAGCCGAGAGGTACAACACAAACACACGCATACGGACAGACACTCGGCACGCTTATACGCGATAAACAGTTGCAACCTACACACGTACAATACGCACACTGCACGCGCATGAATATGTATATAATACATACACACGTATAAACACAATTTGCCTTCAGCGAGTGCGAGCATTGCATGAAAAAAAAAATCTTGCTTAGATTATTACACTCGAGTTTTTCAATGGACGTTGTTAGTTTTTTTTTCTCTTCATCCACTGTCTGCGACTCGCTTCTTGCTTTGTCGAGAACATACACACGCACACACACATGATGCGAGAGCTGCGCACAGGGAGAGCGGTGGCAAGTATCCGATTGGAAGTCAGATACATTATATTATGCGACCTTCTCGGCTGCGACAGCGGCGCGCAACATCATCGGACGCGCGAGCTGCTAGTGCTGCTGGTGCTGCTGTTGCATGGCTATAATGTGTGCAGCTCGCGCGCATTCATTGAAATTCTCGAGTGCGCGTTCGCTTGGCATCATTTTTCCTTTCGATCGACTCGCGACCTAATCGCGTTACGTCGGACTCTCGGCGCGATTGTCGTCGTCGTCGTCGTCGTCGTCGTCGGTCGTTGTTGTGCGCGCGGCTTATATAGGCTTACACATACGCGCATGCATACAAAATCGCACAGTACTGCTGCGTACTCGTTTCGCGCTGCTGCTGTTGCTGCTGCGACCATCTGATTTACGATCTCCTCGTTATACACATACACAGTACACACACATCCATATACGCGACGGAGATACTATGTGGCGCGCGCGAGCACCTAATGGCCATACACATTTTCCACGTAAGCCGCGTAACGACCTTTACTTGCGGCATCGCCAGTCGATTGCCAGCGCTATATGTATTTCTCGCATGTGCAAATGTGCTGCGGGGGCATGCGAAGGAGCTGCAGCGCGACGACGTCGACGACCTACATGAAAAACCGTATCGTACACGTATATTATACACGAGGCCGATGGTCAACGCGCTTTATTCGACGCACACGGCGCATAAAATGGCATTCACTCGTTCTAGCTACAAACCTATACATTAACGCAACACACACACACACACACACACACACACACACACACACACACACATGCTCGCCCAGAATCGGATAATACACGAATATAGGAGCGAAATGACATGGACCGCGGGCGGTGCATCGGGTCGTCGTCGACGTAGTCGTTGTTGTTCCCCTCGGAGGAATGGCTCAACGCGGATACCCGCAGCGATGGCCATCAGCTCCAGGGCATTTCTGTCTCTCTCTCTCTCTCTCTCTCTCTCTCTCACCTTTGGCACAGCGAGGATCGTCGTTGATAAGCTATCGCGTCGCGGGGGCTAAAGTTTCGAACGAGACACGTGGGGCTAGGTGATTGCACGCTCGCCTTAATATACGTATATACACGTCGCGTCAATTTAGCTCTCGAGAACTGCTCGAGGTGCGCTCCAATATTCTAGATATGCCGAGAGAAGCGTATTTACGTATTTTACAACATATATGTGTGCATATTGTGTATGTGTATCAAGAAAACGAACGTGTGCAATCACGAGGAGACGATGACTCGTCTCTCTCGGAGCTTAAATCCGCGCGTATATAAAAACGGCAACATTGCAATTCGTCGACTATGACACGTATGTGTATATTTCTCTCTCTCTCTCTCTCTCTCTCTCTCTCTCTCTCTCTCTCTGGCGCTCCGTCGTAGGTTCTTGCGTCGACGACAAAATTGCGATCGTTCGTGCGCGTCTGCTCACATACACGATCGAATCTAACTGAACGAAGAAAAAAACGCCTTGCAAGATACGATAGCGTATTGACACTTTTTTTCTGTTGCAACTACTTTTCGTTCCCACGTTTTTATTTCTTTTTTTTTATTTGGACATTTTTACCTCGAAATCTAGTTATGAGACCACGTTACGTCGTGGCCTCGTGATCATCTTCTACGTACACCGCGACACGTCGAGATGCAAATTTCAAAACTCTGAAGAAAATGGAAATTTTTGAATTTAGATTTTTTTCGTTCTCAGTAAGATCTAACTCGTCCAAGTAGTTTCTCTACTTTGGTAATTCATCGCGGAGCTACTCGAGCTCACGCGCACTGATCGAAGCTCCAAGTGTGTTATGTAAAACACCTGTTTTCTCATCGAGTCATCGTGGGCAACTGCGTACTTATTATTATATACTGGCGCGCGCGCGATCGACTTTGCTTCGCGTGCGATAACCCGCGCCACATGCTCGCGTCTCGCTTCCACGCGATCACAAACACACACACACATTATGAATACGTTTTAGTTTATGAGCGAATCAAACAGCAACAGCAGCCCAGTGTAAGCAGCTTAACCACATTTTTTCTTCTTCTTTTTTTACCGTCGAATTGGATCAATAATTGCAACTGAGGTTTTGCCCGCGAGCAAACGATTAAAAACGTCGAGTATGTAGGTATACTATCTGCTACTGCCGCTGTTGATTTTCTACATAACGTGTATGTATGCGGCGACGGGTGACGATAATCCGAGCCAGATAAACGACTTACGTATATAGGCGCGAAGAAGCCTATATCTGACTTTCCGATGAGAAGAGTGAGAGAGAGAGAGACTTACCGAAGGCATACTCCAAATAATTGCACAACTGCTTCGCACGTACAATATGTCTGCGCTCGAAAAACTCGTCATTCGACACAACAAACCGTAAAAACGAAGAGACGAAGAAGAAAAACGAGAGATATAGCTGAGATTTCGTCTGTCGTTCTCTTTCTCCCTCTGCGTCTGCGTCTATTTTGTTATCACTGACGGATCGACGACGGATCGTCAGCCCGCAGTATTCGCGACGTTAACGAGAGACAACGACGACGAAGACGACCATAACGATCCGTCGACTCGACTGCACTGTTGGCAATGTCAGTTGACAACGTCGAGGCAAGCGATGTTCTATCGTATTTTACGTTTTAATGTGTATGTTCACAAATAACACGCGCTTATGTGCACAATGTACGTAGAACGTGCACTTCTTAGCGGCAGCCCGTGTGTCAAGTGGAAAGGATAGGAAAAATGAAATAGTTTTATGCTTTTGGTCGAACTTACCCGTGAGTGGGAAACCTGTGTTGAATGTGTTGTGGCTCGTAGTACTGAGTTGTGAGGGCTCTCTCGTCGAGGGTGTGCTCTGTCGCGTGTGCCTTAGCCGCCGACTTGATGTCCATGAAGGCAACCGTCGCCGATGCGCCCGAGCCTTGGGAGCCGCTACCGCTGCCGGAGCCGCTTTCGCTGCCCTCGCCGAGCGAGCCGCCGGAACCTGCGCCGTCCACGGGGCACTCCTCGCCCCGAGGCAGCAACTTGACGCTCTGTACACGTCCATATCTGCAACGAGAGAAGAGGCAAAAAACGTTAGAGATCCTGTGTCAAACACTTGTGCAATAGCTTGCAAATTTATTACATTTTTTCGAATTCATTTGTCCATGTCATGTAACGCGGAGTTAATTGCGCGCGGAGGCACTGAGAGATCTTCGCGCTCGCGAGTCAGCTCTTTGATTAATCTACTATCGCAGGTATCGATACGGGCGCGCGCGCGATTGTCATGGCGACTCATCGCGCGGACCGACACGCCGTTGACACGATAGCGATCGATTCGAGTGTGATTTTTTTTCCTTCTTCGTAGCTCGCGCGCGCCTCACTTCGCTAGCCTCTCTCTATCTTTTGCAATGGCTGAACAATGCCGATACTCAATAATAGAAAGATATATATAAGCTTTCGATTGTTTATAACGAGGTTCTCTCTGCGCTGCTGCTGCTGCTGCTGCACACACCTGTATAGTTATATATCCGAGAACAGAAATCGAGCGCGAGTTTTGTTCGCTAGAGCAATTATCAAACAACTCCACGTATAGAATGAGAGAAAGAGACGGCGTTCGCAGTTATATTTGTTGGACATTCTTCGTACGCCACGCTATATATAGCTTCCGACGAGCCCGAGCACTGCAATGCCAATCAATGCAATATTGATTGCCAAGTATAATCTGCTGCCGCCAACGCCGCCGTTTTATACACGTATATAGAAGGAAAGAGAGAGAGAGAGAGAAAGAGAGAAGTAAGTACGGAACGACCTGCTTCTTTTTACAAAACACTTCACCAGTCTATATGGTCTATACTAAAAGTATCTCTATCTCGCTCGCTCGTATTCTTTGCCTGAATAATCGTATGGGTGCGGCAACGCCCTTTCCTCGATAGCGACTAACGCCAGTCTCTATGATACCATGCGTAATACCACATAAGGCTATTTTACCTCAGTCCTGTATCGATCTTTTTACGCAACGATATTGTTTAAATTATTTTACTTTTGAGAGTGTACATTATCTTTAAAAATATCCTGCGTAAATAATTTTTAAATTATTCGTATGAAAAAGTTATTTTCTGGGACTTTGAGAAAAGTGAGCGATTTTTAGTATTAATAAAGATCCACTTGCTTTGTAATTTATGTCAAAGCAAATACAATGTGACACAGTTTATTCCAGTGCAAATGCATATAATTCTTTGAAAAAACTCGGGCTCGGAGAAAATAATGATAAAAAGTTAAAGCAATGATTGTGTACGAGTTGTATATTCAAACCGACGTTTATCAAACAATTCAGTAAATTGGAGATTTTTTGCGCGCCGAATAGTGGAATAACACTTAAGAATTTTTAAGCTCAAGCGGTATAGATGACTGATCCGCAGACAGATACGTGCTCGCGCTTTAATGTGAAATAATTTTGAGTCTGATAAGTTTGACGGTAAAAACCGTCTACTCGTGTGAAGTGGTATAAAACAAGAATAGGAAGCTTCCATAAATACGCGCATATTCACGTATTTTATTAAATGAAATATGAAATAAAAAAATTCATTAATATTTTTATTCCTGCGATGTGAAGTATTCTCGAGTAATTTTATAAAGTTGAAGCTTAATCCAGAGAGTGGCACATAACGTATAATACGCAGTAATTCAGGGTATGTGAAAAACTGCAAAAATTCGATCGCAAAAAAATTAGAATTCATTTCAACTGATTTGTAAAAAACAAATAAATGAAAAACAGAAATTGAATTTAATATTTTGAAAGCGCTCTAATTAAATTAACTTAAATTCTCCCTCTAAAAACGCCAAAAACGTTAGATTATTAAAATTATATTTAAATAATTTTACAATTTGCTTCTAATGGAAGGTTTGAAAATAAATACTACAAAATATTCTAGCCAGGGTAAAAAAATCGAAATACATCAGCTGATCCAGCATGCCAGTTTCAAATTCTATATTTTTCATATTCATCTACACATACAATCAGAAAGTATGACTTGTCAGCAAATTTTAAAATCTCAAAATTATTTCTATATCACGAGCCCGCTAATATTTGCCCGAAAGCAAGCAAAAGCCAAAACAACTTGTCGATCCAAGAGATCAACGTCCGATAGGCCAAGAAACTGAGCCTGGCTAGTGCTAGCTGTTAATAATCGTTTAATTTTCAGCTCTAATTCGAGACAATGTCATATCACGAGATATATTTAAATAGATACATGTATATCGTTCGAAGAATGGGCTAGACTATATAGCGCACAGGCGAGAGCACAATCAAGCTATTCAGACAGCAGCACTCGGTCTAACGAAGATTTATGGCTGTTTTCGAGACCCGAGCCGCGCATAGACGTTACATAGGCATCGTTTCGTCTCCGCTCGCGCGTTATACTCTCTTTGGATGTGAGCTTTTGCACACGCGGAGCAGCAGCAGCAGCCGCTCGTTTCGAGACCTTTTGATGAATGATGATGATGATTCGCCCGTGAAGCGTATTACGTATTCGTTGAATTTTCAATAGTTGTGCTGTAGTCGCAGTTTCAAGAGATAACTGTGCATTGACCCGGAGAGTCTATAGCTGCTGCTACATAAGTGTTTATATACACGCACACGCGCGCGTGGACTGACATGTGCCGCGCGCGGCGAGCTTACAGCTCGTGTGCGATTTTCGCCACAGAGAGAATCGTAAAAGAGAGAGAAAAGCGGCCCCGAGACGATAATGACGGATAGCTGTAGCTCATTTGCGTCTTCGGATCCAAACGGCGTGGAAAAACGTCCGTGCTCATATTCTTGCGCCAATGCAGAAGAGAGGCTCTCCGCTAGCTGCGCGTAGTGTAGTTCCGCGAACGCGACGTGTGTGGTCAATATTCCGTCGCGGATAAATATTTACGTCGCACGGCGAGACTCGAGCGAGTTAACGAACACGTCCCCTGCAGCGGCAGCAACGAAAATTCGACTCTGCCTGCGTCGTACGACGCAGTAGCGGTAGCAACAGCAACAGGACCTGCCAGAAGCGTTCAAAGGACGAGCGTACGCCACTGTAATGTATAATAAAGGAGCCGAGTACCTTCGTTGTTGTTGCTGCATGGGCATTCAAGATCTTGGCTCTCGCGTGTAGTATGTACGTACGCATGCACAAAGACAAGTTGGACGACGACGAGCAAAGAAAGAGAATCTTCAAGGTTTGGCCTGCAGGCAGTACACGATAAAGAAAGAGGAGGAAGGGAGAGAAAAGTCGCGCGAGTAACGTATACGTACACGTATATAGTATACATATATACTTGCGCACGAGGTCTTTCTCTTGCGCGCGTATATAGTCCGTGCGCGGTGCAGTGCACATAACGAGAGAAAGAACATTGCACGCCGTATAATGCCGCGACCTGGCAACGTTGCGCCAACGTCGAGTACGTACGTATATATGTATCCTATCTATGCACAAGGATAGATATGTTCTTATGCACAAAAAAAATTAAACACAGACTTATTTTACACAATAAAATGTGCCGAAGAATATATGCACATCTTTATTGTACGTATTTACAAATAAATTTAAGTGTACACAAAATATCAAGCAAGTTTAAATATGCTCACAAATTAAATTCACAGAATGTCCAACACAAGATACTAAGCACATGATATTTTATACACCAATCATTCAGCACAAATATTACGTACAATTATTATGCACAGATTATCTTACACAAAATACTAAGCTCAAATGCGAGAACATGAGTTTTGATCACGTGCAGAATTGTTTGGATATATTATTAGTGTAAAATTTAACGTGTACAACCAAACGTGCTAAAGAATTGTGTACAACTATATGTGCACATTACAATGTGCACAAAAAAACTCAAAAAATATAATTTTTAAAATAAGCCATTAACTTCGTCTTAAAACTCTTAGAGACAATGAATACCAGTTTAGACCCCGTTTGAACAATTAGTTGTTCAAAGGCGTTGATTTTATTCGCGACACTCCAGCCGAAACTTACCTTTTCATCTCTGAGACAAAAATAAAATTGTAGATTACATGCTTAGGGATCGAAAAACTTGTCCGGTTAAAAAACCATATCTACACTAGTTGATAATGCAATTTTTTCAAATATGTTCAGTTGGAAAATCACCAAGCTTGAGCAATTTTTGAAACTGAAGTAACCCAAATAACCCCTAGTAATCCAAGTACCCACAAGGCAGATTTAATTATGTAAAAATAAGAAAATCAAGTAATCTTGAGTAACCTAGGTAGCCCAATCGACCAAATTCAATCAGTTTAGTAAATAGAAAAAACCCAAATACTTATAAGTAAATAGAGAAATGTCGGTAAATAATTTCGTTGCTTAATTTGAGAATTAGCTCTATTTTCTCGCTTTAATATTCCAACTAGAAAAATAAAATTAAACGTGGAAATTCAGCTTGGGAATTTTAGTTGGATAAATAAAAATTATCATTTTGACTGAAATTTTAGCTTTTTTTTATTAATCCTGATGAGTTCCACTCAAAAAATCTGGATTCCAGATGAATAACTTAGGTAACTAACTCGAAAAAAACATAGTTTGAAATTGAAACCTAGCGGTGGCAAGACAATTTACGAGGAATCTTCCTAATTTTCCTAATCTTCATGAGAAATTTTCCTAAAATAACACATTCTTTTGAACAGTTGTGGTCGAACAAATACCTTAAATCTCCAAAACTTTTAAAAGGTTGTCATGGTTTTACCAATTTTTTAAAATGGCATAAATATATTTCAAAACGCCACGTGTCTACAAATTGAGCAATTAATTTTCAATGATATGCCATTGGTTTTTATAATTTCAGTTGACAGTATTTTAAATTTAAGGTAAGTATTGTAATATTTTGTATTGAATAAAAGACACTCGATTTTTATTGGAGCGCACAATCAAATTGCTGAGATAATATTTTATGCTCTGACCATCGCCGTCTAAGTAGAGAAATTAAATTTATAAAACATATAGAATATATCTGCATTAGCGTACTATGTTTCACGTTCATAAGATGTTTTATAGTAAATTTTATTAATT